TAGAATAGCGTGGACGGAGAAAAAGAAAAACGTCGACATCAAAGAAAACAGGTTCGTAAACAGCATCCTCTGCCGAAAGCTGGGGTATTTTGAATTTATCAAGCGCCATGGTGGTCTGGGGAGAACGATGATGGAGGCTGCAGTTTCCGGAAAACGAGGCAGAGGTAGACTACCGCGAAAGTGGATACATGACACTGAAGATGCATTGGTTGTGAAAGCACACAGGGCTGGAAAACTGGCTAGAGAAAGAAAAGCTTTCACGTGTGCCGCGAAGAGAGCGACGTTCTGTTCAGGGCATGCTGAAAGATGATTTCTACAGTCATGTAGTTTAGGGGCTAAGTGTTCGCAGTAAAGTACAGTGTTGCCACTTTTCTTTATCAAAAAATATCCAAAACGGTGTCAAAAAATATCTAAAAAGATCTAAATATGCGTGGAAAAGATCTAGAAAAAAACATCCAAATTGAAAAAGTAAAAAAATTACATAGCTTTTGTTATGACTTACCTTACATAATCATGTCCTAACCTTCACTGATGTCTGCCTCATAAGATCCACAGGATAAACTTAGCTTGGATAATGAAGTTGAAGCTTCAGATAAAAAATGACCCTGGTATGCTTTAGTTGTTCAAATTTCTTTATAAGTGGAACAGTAGGCTTATTTCTCTAGTCTCATCAGGCCGAATTTTAATGGCCCGATAGCATTTAAGAGGTCAAATTTCATCCTGTTTTTCAGGTTATATTTGATATAATTCCTAGCACTGAAAACTCTTTCTACGTCAGCATCTGAGCTGGGTAGTATCATGTCAGACATGGCACTTTAAAGAGCTTACAGAATGGACTGTTTGATGAGGCATCTTTAAATTGTCTCACTTCACTCCAAAACGCTTTAGTTTCTGTTTTGTTTGTCCATTCAGCTAACTTTATTTTGGTTAACTGATATTCTGCTTCCGCGACACTATTATCAGTAGCCCCTAAAAATGTCATAACTTTACATTATTTAGGTATGTCCTTTATTGGCTGAAGTATGTTGCTCAAAGAAAAAAAGTGAAATATTTTTCAAAACATCTAGATTTTCAGGAAGTCTCTGCTTCAATTGCTTCAGTAAAGAGATAAGGAAATCTTGACAGCGTTTTCTTAAGTTGTTCTCTTCATTCTCTGTTAACAGTCCTTTTGTTTTTAAATCATCAATTTTTTATTCGATTTAATATCCAAGGTGTGGCTTAGGAGCCAAATAGCTCTCTAAAGTGCAAGTGAGCAAATCAGATTTAGAAGTTGGCAACACCAGTCTTTTACCGAGTAAAATAGCAAGGTGAGATAGATCATCAAGTAATTTAACTTTATCAACAAGTTTAGATTCGAACAGTTTATTAACTTTTTGCACTTCCCTTAGAATAGGTTATAAAAAGAGAATGAATGACACATTTTTTTCATCACTGTACATTCCATATAGTATTTCAGCTGTGTAGCACTTTTCACTTTGTCTTGTTATTTCAAAGTGTGTCTTCAACTTCAGCCATTGCTTCATAATTCTTTCAACAGCTGGTTAAATTGATAACCATCTAGTTTTGCAATCTGACAGAATTTTCGGTGGTGTGGAACCATCATTCAAGGCTGTATATAATGTATTGTATTGCTGTTGTCTGTCAAATGATTTGGAAAACCAGTAAAGTGTTTCAGCAATAAGGTATTCCAAATTCCTTGGTAAATATTTAGATGAAGCATGTGATAATGCTAGCTGCAATGAATGACGCATACATTTTATAAGTATTAACGATAGGTTAGCCTCCTTTAATTTGGCATAAACGCCATTGTTTATACCAACCATCACTGAGGCATTATCAGTACCAATTACAGCCAAATTCTTCAAGCCTAACTGTTTGCTGATTAAAAGGTCCTTCAGTTCCTAAACTATACTTTTGTCACATATCACTCCTGTCGAGTGCCTAATGTAAGGATTTCTCCTTCAGAACCAACAGCACTCAGAAATAATTATGTTGAGTCGTTTGGCTCGTATTGGTCTAAGGGATTCCCCGTGGCCAATATACGCTCAACTTATCTCTGGAGTAGGGCAACTCAAGTATTGGCACTACAAAATATGTCAGTATATGAATACAATATTTCTAGGCACACTTGGCTGGACACCCCCACTACTTACTAAAGAAAGCCCCCAGGTTATGATAGTTCATTATCATAACCATGTTAACACATATAATGAAGATACATGCACACACAACTGCTAAACACTTAAAAAAGGTGACATAGAGAAACCTAAGTCAGCCATGAAAATGAATGCATGTAATCAGTATAATATATATATACATATAATAGTGAAGTGAATTCCAGCTATCAGTGGAAGAATCTCAGAAAATAATGTCTAGATACCAAAGATACTACACAGACAGCAGGTCCTGGAGATGACATCTTATCATCATTGGGAAACATAGGAGCTGTGAGGAATAAAGCACATAAGGCATCAAACTGCACTTAGCCTCTTTCTGTCTATGATGCCTCCCTCAGCTCCTGATGATTCGACTGTCTTTGTCTCTGGTAATTCTGCTCAACTGGATCAGGTAGTGAAAGAGTACCTCACCATAGAGGACACAGCAACTGTACCGGTACTCAGCAAGTCTCTCCCATCAGTTAGGTCACAACAGGGACTCTGAGCTACACCAAGCTCTTGCACTGGTAGGCTGTTTGAGGTATCTGCCTCCCCATAGTGATGATGTCAGGAACTTTCACAGGTGTTAGCTGGTGGGTAGTTGGTTGATAGTTGGTTTAAGGTTGGTGGGTGTTGGTTGGACTGTGAAACTTCTGCCAGCTCCTCACAAAGGATTCATCCTGCCAAGAAATAACTCAGAATTCGTCATCACCAAGAGGGTAACATCTTGACAGGAAAGACAGAACAAGCATCAGTCACCTTCCCCCATCTGCCTACTCCACCTTGCTCTCCTGTTTCATTCCTCAGAATGCCTCTCCAGACCAGGAGACACAAGTCTCCTATCATTCATCTGTCTGTTTAGTGCAAGAGAAGGCAAGTCAGATATACAGTGGAGATAGATAGAGTGTTCTAACACATATATCACTCTCTCTCCCTCCTCCCCTCTGCACACAGACACCAATATTTACTGTCAGTACATTTATTTCTTATGCCTCCCAAAGCTAGACCTACCATTCATTGATCTGGGTCAACAAACTCGCACACTGGCCAACAAAGTCCTGACCTAATTCTGTCCCCATTTTGTATGCACAAACTTCTGTTGCCAGTTTAAATAGTACACACTTTTAAGGTTTTAGGTTTACCAGTATGAGTGGGTTATTTAAGGCATAGGCTATTTAGTCTGTACAGGGAAGGGTCTACGTTCAAATCCGCTTCTCTAGCGACCAAGAACGGTCGAACTATGTGTGATCCCACAGCCGATACTGATCTCTCTACAGCAGTGACTACTTTAACATACATCATTTTAGGTACTCGTAAACTATAATTAACTTACCCAAGCATATGAAAAGTCTGAGACATTCCAGATCGCCTTATGAAAGTGAAATTATACAGGCATAGATTGACACGTCTGGACGCTTGGAGCCGGCAAGAGAGAATGGCGCAAATTAAGCACTTCAAGCGTTGGTAAAAAAGGAGTTCCCAGTATACATGGGCAAGGAGTAAATCGGTTTCAAAGAAACCTCAAATAACTCCCCTAATATTTATCCAATGGATATACATTTAAAAATGGAGTTAAGTCAAATCAACCAGAAAATGTAGACATAATAATGTTGTCTAATAAAGGCATATATATATATATATATATAGATATAAGGGACTATATCTTTCCGGACGAGTCCAAGTTTGAATTTTGTGCCGATTACAGGTAAGTCAAGTTACCAGTCTTACGGACTGATGCGTAATGGCTTATCATTCCACGACAACTTTCTACATCATACTTTTCAAATTGAACTAGTCCAAGAATTTTTACAAATCGATCAAACGGTCACAGTTTGAAATTGCGCAGTGACAAATTAAAAACATTGCGACTGATACTTCTAACTTTTGATTATTCATTATCAGTATAGTTCTGAAAACAGATGTCAGCGGTGTAATATCTTAAAATGAAACTGCAGTTTTATGCTTTTTTAGTCTCTGCATGACTCTTTCAGTGTTGTATTTTCGCTTTAATTTCACACTTGCAGTACTTACAACAAGCTTTGGTCATATCCCCAGTTTTTAATTTTGTCATCATGCAACCACTCTTTCCAAATTTTTTGCTCATACTTTACTTTTGGCATGTTGAAAGGTTTTTTCAAAGTGAAAGCCACATAAGAAGGTGAGCAATTATTTTATTTAAAATCACATGAAAAAAAACGCAAAGTCAGCACAGTGAGGATACGGTTGAAACAAAGTTAGTATGATTTACGCGCGTTTTTATTAATCAGTACCGGGGCTGTCATATATTTGTGCGTTGACCCCAGTGAGAGTTCAAAGTTCAAGTAATGACAGTTGTCACAATGTACGTGCCAGACCAAAACAAAAATATTGTAGTCAATATTGTATACAGTAATTATTAAATTTACAATGAAAAAAAAAAAAATCTATAAAATATCGAACTCTATTATGGAAAGGGTAGAGAAAAATATTTACGATCTAAACGTCAAAAACAGTATCTAAATGTAATGAAAAAGATCTAAATTTGGATATAAAAGATCCAAAGTGGCAACACTGGTAAAGTAACGAGAGCGTGCAGACTGTCTGGCGATCATTGCAGTTGCTGTGACTGGTCCCGCACTAAATGTTCGTGCGCGTGAGAGCCTAGCCAAAATAGGCTTTATGGATTTTAACATATATTTAAAAACTTAACAGTTGAATGCTTCTGGGAACCCCCAGTACTTGAAATCCTGGATGAATGGAAGTAGGCCACGATATAAACGGACTCGACACCAGACGGATATGTTAACAACGGCCAGAATGCATGTGTCGTGTTGTCTGCTATCTGTGTTATTTCTTTTTCTCCAGTGCACCCTGGCCAATGCCACTAAAGACGTGAATGGAGGCAAACATTGCGCAGGTAATGTTGGTGTCGGAGTGTTAGTAACTTGTGAGGTTTGAGGTTTTGACTTGTAAGGTAATGTCCATGTGGATATAAAGATCGTACTTTATGGGACTGAAAACGGTATTCTTGAAGGTGTAAAGAAAATGGTCCTGATCACGTTTCATTCTTTCTCAGATTTTTCTACGTCGGAGGGATGTCACGTTGTCTCCCCTCCAATTACATCAGCGCCGATGTCGCGTGTTATATACTACACGACGACACAGCTTTCCACAACCCCATAACATGTAGAACTGACCCTAACCCCAACGCCCCCTGCCCACCGGCTCAGCCTAGGCCATACGAGAGACTCTTTTCGAACAACGTGAAACCCCTCTGACTTAGATCAGACTTAGAAAGTGTGTAGATGGGCCGGCAAACGTAAACAGATCCACAGAAACTTTAAAAAAAAAAAAAAAACTTCTATACAAGGTTAGAAGGCATGAGTCCCTTTACATTTTCGGGGAGGAAAAGGGGCTGGGGGAGGCTTCCATATTATTTTTAAAAATTTAGAAAAAGGGGGGGGGGGGGTGTTTAAGGTGCCAAAGCGCCCAGTTCCGTCGCCCCTGAATGCTGTATGGCCGCGGCTTCTATGAAATAGTAAATGTGTTAGACAAAAACCGAACACGAACTATTCTATACACGGTTAATTGGTGTGTGTGTGTGTGTGTAGGGGGGGGGGTACCAACCAGCTCACTGTACGTTACTTGATCGTACCAATGATAATATGACAGCCTCGCTGTCTTCTATCACAGACAGTTCCTATATTATCTTCTCGTACCGGAATTATCAATCGTGGCGTCTGTGGCTTAGGCGTTGCGAACGAGCTTCGTAATGCCGGGATGCCAGGTTCGAACCCAGCTGCGGGCAATGCGCCTTGCGTTGGTTTCGACAGTGTTATCAAGAAAGCTGACCGTCCAGGAGCAATGGCAAACTACTGAATGTAAATTGCCTAGAGAAACCACACAACAACCAGGGGCTGTTAGGGTTGGTTCTGCAACGTCCTGTAAAGGATACGCAACTAACTTGACTTTGAAATAGGAATTAAAGTATTACATGTAACTCTCTGAGACCGCCTCACAGTTTGACCCAAGCTAAGGCGGGGGGGAGAGAACGGCATGGACCCGAAGCTACCCGATCTACGCACAGTTACTCCCAGTAAAAGCCAGACACATATGCAGGTGTGTTCAACGCGAATCAATTAACAACACATTTGACAGAGCGCAGAGTTTCGCATCAAATCTCTGGAAAGCCGTACTTGAGATCTGGTCCGGACACATCAAGTCACCAGGTGGGTTGTTAATCGTGACGTATTGTAGACGGTATGCAGGCGTATCCGGGGTCGGATATCTAATAACAATTTAGACCAATCAAATCGTTAACAAAAACCGGATCTCTATTTTTGATTAAAGCCAGGCGTACAAAGTGTCTCATAAGTTTCCAAACATATGAGAAATACCATTGTTTTGAAAACACATTTGGAAGCGTGTCCTCCACTGCATGCCTAAAAACAGCTGGCGTTATTCTTTTAATACATCGGTGACCGGGTCACCCACTGGCTCGCCGGTTGACGACTTAGTCGCCGGACATAACAGTATTGGGTCTACCTGGTATCCAGTCGTGCCACAATAAACAATTGTAAAATATCATTAATCTGCACAGTTGTTTGATTACTCAAGCTTTAAGGAAAAAGAAAGAAGAGACCCACTGCCAAGCATGTCGTAAAAAAACAGCTAATTAGCGGTTTGCTGAAATCCGATATGTTGGTCATAAAGGCGCATATATCGCAGCCTATCCGTAAATCATAACACGACGTGCCAACCTCCTTTTCAGGGCGAACGCGAAGAACAAGAAATAAAATGTATAGATCATCCGGGTTGGCACACACTCGTTGCCAATGTAAACAATACCTCTATTAGATTAACAGAAACATCCTGTATCCAAAAGACAATAACAATATATCCCGTTATAACACAGCTGAGTGGGGTTTGAGGTTTGAACAACGGACCAACATCCTGGCACACGGGTAGTAACCCATAATTGCTCCATTCTACTTTTAACTCAAGTTTGAGTCCGAAGAAGCTCAGCACAGTACACAGGCTCTGTAGCACCAGCGAGAATTCTTAAATACTTTGGGTAGATTTTTAACTCTAAATTGTGTCCGGTCAGCGCCGTTAGGCTACTCTTTTCGATTTCTAACTGTCAAGGGATTTCTTACGTGCGCAACAATGCACACAGGCGTCCGATACCATGTCCAGAGACCAAGGGGAATTACTAGAAGTCCAGGTAAAAAAAAAAATCACAGTCCTTACCGGGGATTGAACCAGGAACCTCTAGTATTCGAGGCGAACACCATGCCTCGAGACTATGCAGCCCCCCCCCCACCCCGCTGAGTAAATTGCTACTACTATTACTGCAGCTGCAAGCGGGCCATGAATGATGCAGGTATTGAGATGTACTTGTGGGAACAAACTTCCAAGGACCGTATTATATGCAGGAGGCAGTGTATGAGAATGAAGGAAGAAATGATTGCAGAAAGGACGAGAGCTGAGCGTCTGAGAAGAAACAGACTAACCACAAATGTTGACATCACGGGTTCTGAGATACCATGCAATAATTGTACAAGACGTTTCTTAACATGGGCGGGTCTTGCCAGTCACACTCGCCATCGCCATGGGCTGTGAGTCCCATGCCTCCTCATAGCGCAATATAACACTATCGTCTGGAAAGACGGAAAGGTGTCAAACAATTATTACTGTTGCTGCCACAAATAACGACAAACTACTGCTACTAATGGAAGTCGCCGTGGCGTAACGGCTAGACGCTCGCGTGCGGATCGGAAGTTCGTGGGTTTGCTCCCTGGCGGAGCCGGACTTAAAAAAAAAAGACCTTAATTCTTTACCCTAGGCGCGACCGAGCCTTAATAACTACGACCTAACCAATACTACGGTTGCTGCTATAGCTATATATTTACGTCATTTCATACATATTCTATCAGTATGCGTGCTTCTAGTGGCCTTGACAGAGCAGCTAGCAGAAGTCAACAATGCTTCCATATCCGACACCTTGCAGAAGGTCTGTTTCTATCTTCCCGCTTCATTCAGACCTCCCTGTAGAGAGGCTATCGAGTTCATGGAACCACTGTTGGTAGAGTTGTAAGTGCTACAAGCATGTGCGTTTTGAATTGTCATCATCTTCACCACCATCATCATCTTCATCAGTATCATTAGTGCCACTATTAGCATCATCATCTTCATCATCAAAACCACATCCTACCGCATGTTGCTGCTGCTGTTACTGCTACTACTACTTCCTCCATTACTGACCTTAACTACTGATACCTACCAACTACTTGTAGTACATCACTTGTCTTACTACTATTACTGCTGTTGCCACCACAACTACCACCACCACCACTACTGCAGCTGCTACTGCTACTGCTACTTTTACTACTACTACCACTACAAATACTTTTACTACCACTACTAATTCTACTGATGCCACTACTACTGATGCCGCCACCATCACCACCGCCACTACGACTACCACTACTTCCACTACTTCCACTACTACTACTACTACTACTACTACTACTACTACTACTACTACTACTACTACTACTACTACTACTACTACTACTACTACTACTACTACTACTACTACTACTACTACTACTACTACTACTACTACTTCTACCACCACCACTAATACTACTTTTACTGCCACTACCAATTCTACTGACGCCACTGCTACTGTCGCCGCCGCCACCACCACCACCACCACCACCACCACCACCACCACCACCACCACCACCACCACCACCACCACCACACCACCACCACCACCACCACCACCACCAATGGTTATTAATGTTGCTGTTGTAGGTCCTTCCTTTTCTGACCAATGTCATCACTTCTGTTTTGTTATGTTGACCTTCAAATCATAGTTGTCGCATGCTGAATATAGTTTAGCCTATTCATAATATGTTCTTGTAGTTGTACTGCTGTTGGTGCTATGGTTGCCTGGACGTCGGCTAAAAGCATTTCATTTAGTAATTCTCCAGCATTGTCCCGTTGGCTGGTGTTTAGCCGATTTGCGAATTTGGCCTATGTATGGGATGAAGTAGTGGTACAACTTCCATGTTGCCAAATCTCTTACTGATCAAATGTTTGACTATCTTCAGAGTTGTACAGAGAGCGGGACCCGATGTCGCTTGTCATGCCCTGGGATTCTGCAGGACAGACCCAGGTTACGAAAGATGTGAAAGTTTTGCACCAACTTTTCAGCAGGAGAGTGTGAGTTATCTGTTCATGGCTATGTTTGAGTTATCTGTCCTTGATGATGATGTGTGAGTTATCTCTCTTAATCAGGTCAGTAGTCAATTGATTGACTTTCTACCCCACTAGGACATCACACAAGCGATAAACACCCGATGACACAAAGTGCCACCATGTGGATGAGGATCACTGTGGAGAGGTCCCAGAAACCGCATTCAGACAATTGGCCATATTTATGGCCTGCCTATATTGCGGCCCCTGGCAAAAGCCAGTGGGGCTTCAAATAACAAAAAAATTACGCCCTAAAAAGTACGTAAAGATGAGAAGTGTAGTAGTAGTCTATTGTGCCAAACTTTAAAAATCTGCAACTCATTAACTGTTCAATGTATGTTGTTTAACATTTGGCATACAGTCTATTAATAATAGGATGCATTTTTTACCCTTAATTTAAAGCCCCACCCCGAATGTCGTCCGGGGCAGTAATATAACCTAACGGTTGAACAGGGTATCTTGGACGTGAATGGCGGCACTTTGTGTCCCCAGGTGTTTGTCATTGTACGGTCCTGGTAGGGTTGAACGTCACTCAGTCACTCGTTAATAATAATGCCCTTCTAAGTATTTTTGTTCGAGTGCTGGGGGTCCCAGGCTCAAGCCCCAGTAAAGGCTGAGATTTGTTCATGTGGACTTCTAGTAATTTCCTCTTGTCTCTGGGTAGTAAGATCAGACGCCTGTGTGTATTGTTAAGCACGTTTAAAAAAAATCCCTTTGCAGCTGAAAATCCCCCCCCCCCCCCCCCCCCAAAAAAAAGAGAAGCCTAACAGTGCTGCCTGGGCAAAATTTTGAGTTCGAAATCTACCTAGAGTATTTCATCATCCTTGCCAGCATGGTAACTATAGCTTTATGTTGTTATGTTGTTAAATGCAGTGTTCCTCAACATTTTTACACCTGCGGCCCACTGAAACAGTTAAAGTTGTTCCGCGACCCACCTGACAGCTAACCAAACACACTGTTTGAAAACATTTAGACAGCAGCTTGTTTGTTAAATCCGATATCACAAAAATCACAGTCTTTCTGCTTCTTTCTGTGCTGATCAATACTGTCTGTTTTTGTTATTATATATAAAATCATTTTGCTAACTAGTGTCCAACACTCACCTCCATATAAAAACAAACACGAAACCGTTCGGTAAGTGGATTTGTTTTAATATTCTGTTTTTCATGATTTGTAGCAATAATATCACCACATCTATTTTCAGGGCTTACGCTTTGAAGAACACGTTTACAGAGTAAAACAGTCTTTCAAATATCGGTTTCCAAAGGTATAATAATCTTTAACAGCATAATATTATCAGTTATTTATTTATCTAAGGTAAATAAAAAGAGATGCAATTTATTATTAAGTTAACAGTGAAAATTGTACTAGCCATATGTTAGTGTGCAGCCTCTCAGCTTTCAGTTTGGGTTAAATTCGACATACTGGTGGGGCTGAATTCTTCTCCTCCTAATCCTTTGTCTCCTTCTTATCTTCTTTCTCTTTTCCCTTCTTTTCATACTTCTTATCTTCCTCCTCCTCCTGATTGTCATATTGTATCTGTCCATTTTTGTACTGTATGATGCATTCATAGAACTTTAGCTGTTTCATAAATCAGTTAATAAATGTAACTTTTACTGCTTCATAAATCAGTTAACAAATATAACTTTTGCTGTTTCATAAATCAGTTAATAAATATAACTTTTGCTGTTTCATAAATCAGTTAATAAAAAGAACTTTTACTTTTTTATAAATCAGTCAATCAGATACAGTCACAACAATGAAAGCTAGCTGAAATAAATCTAGAAAAACCCCAGTCTCTCATTCTGTTTTCTCGCTTTGACAGACTGATGTTTGCCATTTTTTAAAATAGTATTGTCCCACTTGTATTGTCTACTTTCCGCTGCCTTTAACTTCTTATCCAATGAAGTTTTAATAAGTGGTAGATTTTATTTGTGGTTGAAATACTAAACTCGTTTTTTTTTTTTTATATCTTTCTTTTTTCGGCTCTCTTTTCTGAATGGCAATAAAACCAACAGAGAAAACGTTTACTGAAAGACAAATTTAGTGGGGTGTGAGTAGAAGTATGACAAATTCTTCTGTATAACCAGATCATGAATAATGCACTAGAACAGAAAAAAATCACCCGTGAAATACGCTGTCTCCGCAAGGTCCCTAACAAAACTAGACGCGACAGGATTACGAATACCAGCATTAGAGAGAACGTTGGGATAAGACCATGTCTGGATTATATCAACAGCAAAGAATGAAATGGTTCGGCCATCTAGTAAGAATGCAGCCAGACCAGACTGCAAATGAGACTTTTTACAGTAGAACATCTGGGAGGAAGGCAAGAGGAAGACCAAGAAATAGATGGATAAATGGTGTAGCTCACCCGAGATGTGCAAAACAAATACAGAAAACCACGACACTGGGCTACAACTTGGTATCAGTAAGACAAAAAAAGAAGAAGAAGATATCAAGATCCCTGTTGACTTAATTCTACATTCTAATTGCTTATTCATTGTCCATGAATGCAGTGGATTCCATATCACTGTGGCTTGGAAGGCAATGAAATAGCGTTAGATTGTTCAGAAGTGGCAGTGACATGGTACAACCAAATAGTGACTTGACCCTCCAAGAGAAAAAAACATTAATGCAGTCTAGTATCCATGAAGGGTGGCTGGATACACACGCCAGATTTCTTATCAAGACTCACTTCATCGCCTCTCTAGAGAGGGAAAGTGCCTTATATTTAGACTAAGGACGGGGCACAACAGACTTCGTCAACATATGTTCAAATTTTTCGGTGTAGGAAATACGGAGACGTATCCCTGCAGCGTGGCACCCGAAAATGCTGAGCATGTGCTCCAACACTGTCAACTGTATGCTGACAACAGAGACGCAATCTGGCCTGTTCCAACCACAATGAAGACAAAACTGTATGGTTCACGAGAGGATACAGACTGCACGATAGCTTTCATAAAGGCTATCAGCCTCCTCGTACAGGTTTTCTGACAGAAGGATCAAAAAAAGAAGAAATCCAGGATTTTGTACCACCTACAAGTGTGGAATATTTGACAAATGTCATTGTGATATTTTTTTTTCTAAAATCTCTCTATGCGTTAATATAATACAATATTTGTTTCTCTCTTCATTGTGTTGAACACATTTGTAGCCATTCCTATTCTCTGTTTGATCTGTACTTCCCTTCTGCCATCATCTGTTATTACAAGCCCAAGAAAACTTTAATTATTTAACTTCACAGATACGCCTCACTTCAAATGTCTGTGATTTGCCAGGGATAACTACAGTCTGCAAGTGGATACAAAAGTAAGACAAACCCAAGAAACTGAGTATACGCGTCTTTATTATCATCATCATCATAGGGAGTTGTGCTGTCTCGAGGCATGGTGTCCGCCTTAAGTGCTAGAGGTTCCGGGTTCAATTCCCGGTAAGGGCTGGGATTTTTTCACGTAGACTTGGACTTTTAATAAATCCCCCTGGTCTCAGGGTAGTGAGATCGGACGTCTGTGTGCTTTGTTGCGCACGTAAAAAAAATCCCATGGTAGTTGGAAATCTTAAAAGAAGAACGGAGCACTTATGGGTTACTACCCGTGTGCCATGATGTTGGTTCGTTATTTGAACCTCAAAGCTTTTATCATCATGAGGTATTGGAGAGAGCAGGTATTACAACAGTTTTCTCAATGCTCAGTCTACCAAGGCTCAAGTGGTTGGGTCACACCTGGAGATAGGAGGATGGTATCCATAAAGACATTATTTATGGTGAATTAAAGATGGCTAGACAATGTCGAGGCTGACCTCTGCTACGATATGAAGATGTGTGCAAACGGGACATGAATGACATAGTTATTGTGGTGGACTCTTAGGAACAAAATGCCATGGACCATGTTGTGTGTGGGTGTTTTGTATGTGTGTTTTGTGTGTGTGTGTGTGGGGGGGGGGCACCTAAAGAGAGGTATGAGAATGAAGGAAGAAATGATTGCATGAAGGATGAGAGCTGGGTGTCTGAGAAGAAACACACTAAATAGAAATGTTGACAACAATGGTCCTGAAATCCCATACAATAAAGGTGGAAGTCTTTTCTTGACACGGGCTAGCCACATTTGACATCACCATGAGCTGTGAGTCCCATGCGTCCTCGTAGCGCAATATAACACTATCGTCTGGAAAGACGGAAAGGTGCATTACAATATAATAGTGATCATCATCATCATCCTCATCACCAATAGCAGTAGTATTCCCAGAAGCAGCACCAACCTAATAATAATAACTATTACAATCATCATCTCTGTTACCTCTGTCATCATTATAACTATCATCATCTCTCATCAGCTATTATCATTAGCTTTACTATTCTCATCACCATTACTATTATCATTAACTTTACTATTCTCATCACCATTACTATTATCATTAACTTTTTTGCTTTTCAGATCTTTTAGAATTTTCATATTTCTTTTTTCTTTGTCCGTGGTACTCTTAGAATCTTTCTAAAGTATTCCAGCTCAAAAACCCATATATATATTTATACTAGAAGTTAGTTACGTATCCTTTACAGGACGTTGCAGAACCAACACCAACATTTTTTGGCGGTTATTGTTTTTCTAAGAAAATTTAATGTTTAGCAGTTTGCCATTGCTTGAATGGTCAGCTTTTGGTACCACTGTTGAAACCAATGCAAGACAAACCGTCTTCAGCTGGGATTGAACCCGGTACCCCAGGCATTACAAAACGTGTTTGCAACGCCTTAGCCACAGACGCCGACAATATATTCATACTACAAACTATAATATCTCATACTGAGGCATTCATTTGACTAGGTTCACAGATCTGCATGAGCCGCTGGTGGACGTCGACGGGGATGGATTCAGTGCTGTCAAGGTATGGGGCATTCTGTTTGTATGCACTTTACCACAGCTGGCTGAACTGTTAATAATGCTGCACTGTCGTGTAGGAGGCCTAGGTTCGAATCTTCAGTAAGGTTATAGATTTGTTTTCTGTTGGTTGCCAAAAGAAAATCCTAACCTGCAAAGTCCGTGCCCACAGCACTAGGACTACGGCCCCAAATCCTCAGACTCAAAGACCCCGCTGCAAAACTGGCAACTACAGGTAGTAGTTAGCAGCTGGCAAAGAGAGGGGGGGGGGGGGAATTACTGTACCGTTCTTTTATATAAAAAGGTTAGTTAGTTGTTTAGTCTTTCCTCTTGAGCCAGGGGCAGCGCATAGGGCAGAGGTCATAGCTTTCCGTGTCTGGCGATTCATTGCTACTTGTGTTAGGTCTTGGATGTTCATTAGGCTCATTGTGAAGCCTTCACTGATGATGGTTCTACGTAGAGTCTCTCTTGGTCTTCCCCCGTTTTCTTTTCCCTTCCAGGGTCCATATGAGGGCTTGATAGGGGAGTCTTGTCTTATCCATTCTGAGTGCACGGCCGATGTATTATTGGATCTGAAATCTGTCCAGTGGAGTTTTAGTATTCTTCTAACACATTTGTTCTCCAAATTGTCTAATTATTTTTAAAACCTAGAGCAGTGGCTCCCAACCTTTCTAATGCAGCGACCCTTTAATATAGTTCTTTATGTTGTGGTGACCGGCACCAAACAATTATTTTCGCTTCTACTTCATAACTTCAATAAATATGTGTTTTCTGATGGTCTTAATTGACTTCTGTGGAAAAGTCGTTCGACCCAAAAAATGGGTCACTACCCACAGCTTGAGAAACACTCATCTAGAGGTGCCTTTGCTTTCCAACTCTTGCATCCATAAGTTAGTACTTGAATCACACAAGAGTTGAAGATCTTGAGTTTTGTGTGTTTGCTGAATGTCTTTGTCTTCCAGATATTTGACAAAATATAAAAAGTAAAGGACCCTTTTTGCGTTAGTACCATACATATGGTGCTACATTCATATTTTGGTAGACCCACCTTTATTTGATGGGTAATGTGGTCAACACCACATCAGGCGCCTTTACTTTCCAGCACTTTTCCTGGTGTCCATTTTAGGCATACAAATCGAAATGGAATAGTTGCTAGATTCCCTCCAAATATGTAAAATGTAAAGGACCCTTTCCCCCGCAATCATACCTATTTTGTATTATGACTAGATCTGTATTTTATAGACCAAACAGCACTTGATGGGTGATGTGGTCAACATCACGCCGGACACCTTTACTTCCCAAGACTTGATGTATACCAATTTAAGGCTGGGTCGACTTGGAAGCCAGGGTCATTTTTGAAAAAAGCCTGGCTTCATCTGAACCTGAATTGCCTACTTTTGGATACGTAGGCGAGTGTCTAGACGCTACACCACGGAGGGTCTCCAACCACATTGTGAAAACAGAAAAACTTAAAGCCGTGACAACTGGAGAGATTTGTGGAAAGAGAAACAGTAGAAAACAAAACAGCGGGAGATGACTGTTACAAGCTTAATAGCACCTGAAGGTATCTCCATGTGATATACATATTATTGAGGATCGACAAGTCTAAGAAGCATGGTCGTCGGGTGTCAATCGGTAAGATACTGGATGCTCATGACTGAATAGTTACATAACTTTTTCCTTTTGAAATAACAGTTTATTGGGGACACACACACACACACACACACCATACACACACCAGATGGATAGACAGAGAGAAAAAGAGAGAGAGGGAGAGAGAAGAGACATACATATGCAGACACGGAGAGAGACAAGAGACATATATAATATATATATATAGAGAGAGACACACACACACACACACGCACATAAAAGGCATACAGACAGAGTAAGAGAGGAGAGACATACATATACTGATACAGTGAGAAAGAGAAGAGACATATGTGTGTGTACACACACACACACACACATGCACACGCACAGAGTGACGCATACACAGATGCAAACAGTCACCCATACACCCACACCTACTGACCCACAACTAATAACTGTTGTGGTTTTTTTTCGTATCCAATAACGACAGACACTAAGGGGAGCCTACTGGCGTGGCAAAGATTGCTCCGACTTCTCTGCAGACTATCATCCCGGAGCTGTGTAAGTTGGAAATGTTTGGAAGAAACCACCTCCATGTTGCGGTGGATGTTGATAAAGACTTTTGATAAAACGCCTGATTGTTTCTGCACTCCAATCCGTGACGTGGTAACAACGTCTGACCTTCAGAGCTTGAACCATTAAAGAGAAGAAAAATGTGCTTGCCTGAGAGGAAAAAAAATGAAACACGCTGACAACAACCCCACAGAATAGCAAACAACTTAAAAAAAATAAAAGAAGCAGAAGAAGAAGAAAAAGAAGACTAAAACAAGACAAAGTTTGAACATCCTTTCTTAAGACAACAGTCCCAGGCATAGACAAAAAGGCTAAGGGATTCTAGAAATGAAAGCTAAGACCTTTAAACATGTTTAAAACTCTTACCTACAGCCCCATTGGATCCATATATACACTGATGGATCCCTGGAGGGAGTAGTAAAAAACACGGAATGACCGTTTGGTCTTCATGCTGCAGGATATGACCACAGTGGGAAAGCCATATGCCTCAGGGAAACTTTCAGCAAACGTGTGAGCAGAGCAGAGCAATTATTGATGCGACAAACTGCATGCAGGTGGGAGGGGGGGGCAAAATTGTTTTTATGTAGGGTGGTGTGTTAGTTTAACAGGCGACTGAAAGAAAAGGCATCCATGAGGTAGCATGGAGAGAGAATTGACCTGCTAAGAAGAAGAAGAAGAAGCAGAAGAAAAAGATGAAGGAGGAGGAGAAGATGAAGGAGAAGAAGAAGGAGGAGGAAAAGAAGGAGAAGGAAAAAAAGAAGGAAGAGAAGAAGAAGAAGAAGATGATGATGAAGAAGAAGGAGTAGAAAAAAAAAGAAGTGGAAGGAGAAGGAGAGGGAGGAGGCAGAGGTGAAGAAGAAGGACGAAGAAGAAGAAGGAAGCGAAGGAGGAGAAGGAGAAGGCTGTACAGAATTAATTTCTTCATGGCAGAATGACTGCATTCATCCTTTTTTTCGTCTATTTGAAGGCTTTCTAGCAGCAAATTTAATTCTGTCATTCATGATTGAAATATTGGGAAGATGACTTGTTCTACTTTGAATAAATATGTTTTTTCAAAACACTATTGCTTACTCAGAGAAATGAAAGAATCTGAAAGAGATGGCGAAAGATAGGGAGGTGAGTTATGATTTTATTGTGGGTGATTCGGTAAAGATTCAAAGATAGTTACAATGTGATAATTTTTATTTTATAGTATTATGTGCATCTATTTTTTTTTTCAGACCAAAACACGGCGATAAAGAATTTGACTCTAACTGTAATGGCATTTTTGTAAGTATCAGTTTCTGAATTAAACACACGCACGCCCGCCCGTCCGCCCACACACACACACACACACACACACACACACACACACACACACACACACGCACACACACACTTGGCAACACTTGGCAACATTTTTGTGAAAGAGAGAGAGAGTAAGAGACAGAGAAATAGAGAAGGAAACAGAGATAACGTATGAGAAAAAGAGAGAGAAATTGAATGCAACCCAAGTATCTAGGACAGTAGCTCGCAACCTTCCTAATGCCGTGACCCTTTAATACAGTTCCCTCATTTTTTGGTGACCCCCAGACAATTATTTTCCTTTATAACTTCAATAAATGTGTTATCTGATGGTCTTAAGCGACCACTGTGAAATGGTCGTTCGACCAAAAAAAAAATGAACGGCCAGTCACAGTGTGCCTGGGCCGGAAAACATTATGTGTACGACAAAAATAAGTATAGCTGTTATACTTGTCTGTGTAGCAACTGCCTCTGTGACATTGTTGGCGGAACATATTGTATCAGCTGACACATCTGTGCGTGACTTTCAATACTTTCATACAACAAGTGGATGGTGTTTTTGTTATTTATTTTGAAAAAAAAGAGTTTCAGGTACAGCACAATAATTTTAAAGTTTAAAATTATAAGAAACAGGGGGAGGAGGAGAAGAAGAAGAAGAAGAAGAAGAAGAAGAAGAAGAAGAAGAAGAGGAAAAAGAAGAAGAAGTAGAAGAAGAAGATGAATAAGAAGAAGAAAAAGAAAGGGAGGAAGAAGAAGAAGAGAAGAAGGAGGAAAAGAAGAAGAAAAAGAAGAGGAGCAGGAGGAGGAAGAAGAAGAGGATGAAGATGATGATGAGGATAAAGATGATGATGAGGAAGAAGAAGAAGAAGAAGAAGGAAAAAAAGAAGAAGAAGAAGAAGAAGAAGAAGAAGAAGAAGAAGAAGAAGAAGAAGAAGAAGAAGAAGAAGAAGAAGAAAAAGAAGAAGAAGAAGAAGAAGAAGAAAATGGCGACATGGACAAAATGAGGCTGAAGAAGACAAGCAGAAACAGTGAGTAGTGGTAGTGGTAATAATAGTAGTAGCAGCAACAGACGCCGAAAAAGAAAAAAAAGGAGGGGGGGGGGGGTAGAGAATGAGTGCAAAGAGGAGGAAGAAGAGGAGAAGAAGGAAAAGGAGATGGCAACGAAGAAGAAAAAGGAACTGGTGCTTTTTTTAAAATTGGCCCCGAACAACGGAAATACTGAGTTTCTGTGAAAGTCCAATATTCTGGGTGTGTTTTGGGTTGGAGTTAGGTTTAGGGTTAGGATCTTTGTCAGTCCTGACAGCTTCAGAGACGCTGACTAACCCTAACCCCAAACCCATAACAATCCTATAATATTGAACTTTCCTGGGATTTCCGGGATTTTCTTTCTTTATGCTGAATTATAAATAAAGTACCAAAGAACTAACCACATGTCACTCTTAAAAGTTAATGATTGTAAACTGTTTATTTTTCTCCTAGGGTGTAGACAACCAGACAAACATACCCTTCGAGGAAGAATTATGTGGTTCGTCGCAGGCTCGAGGTGTGGCTGCGCTGGGTGATTCCATTGCTGCTAACTTCCACTTCCCATCAAAATGGGTTGATCCCACACACATATCAAAGGTAATTCAATTTAAGATTACAGAAGATTGAATTGTGGTCAAGTTATTCTTTAAAAAAGAATAGACCTTACTGCCCTGCATGTTATAAAGGATAACTAATTAGGGTCCATCGATTGGGTCCGTGGTCCCATTGATGGGGATTGGGGAGGGGGGGGTGGGAAATAAGGAATAAACCCACTGTTCCAGTAATAGTGAAAATATGGGGGTGAATGCAGTTAAGCTAATACAAGGAAACTCTCCTCTCCTCGTTGTTACGTTTGTGTAGTTCACTTATGTTTGAAATAGGCTGCCCAGTCGAAACATTACGTTGTGTTGTTTTGTGCATGTTTTTCTGCTTCCCCATTTTGTTGAGCTTTTGAGTCAAATTTCTCTGGAATTTCTTGTTCCAGTAATATCATGTTGTAAAAGGCGAATAATTACGGGTTTGCAGAAATCGGATTGTTGAATCGAAAGGCACTCATACTGCAGCCTAGTTGTAAACCACAACACAACGTACCAAACGACCTTTTAGGAGCAAACACTGAGGAAGAGGATAAGAAGACACAGATGAAGAAGAAGAAGAAGAAGAAGAAGAAGAAGAAGAAGAAGAAGAAGAAGAAGAAGAAGAAGAAGAAGAAGAAGAACAACAACAACAACAACAACAACAACAACAACAACAACAACAACAACAACACAACAACAACAACAACAACAACAACAACAAGAAAATATTTAATATATCTAGCATCAAGTTCTGATTTAATAAATATTGTGATTATATATCAGAGAAAGCTACTTTAAATGATATTGACATAGTAACCTGAAACAAACTGTCATTTGTCTTTATGTCAATGCAGGAAGCCTTCATTCATCTAGATACAATTGTTGAGGATGAACTAGACTGGCCAATGATGTCCTCTATAACAGGTACTGATTATCTTTCATGTATGTTAATAACACAAGCAATAGGCGAATAATAATATCTAAGAAGTAACTTGTTATATGGTTTGTTTGCGTGTACGCCTGTGAGTGGGTGTTTGTGTGGATGTGTGCGTGCATGTGCATGCGCACATGTGTGTGGTTTTTAATGTAGTTGAAAATTAATAATGTTGGGGAATGATACTACCAAATTTCATTAAAAATGTCCTAAGAACTGGCCTTACCTAAATTTTAAAGTACAAATTCTAAATTTAAAAAAAAAAAATGTATTGCACGAAGGAAACGTGTGTATATTCTGTATTGATCTAGGACAGGTTTGTTGACCAAGAAATTCAAGAGGTGTCAACATGGCCTGTCAACATTCATACTGAGATTGTGTGAGGCAAGACCTGGGGGCGGGGGAGGGGGGGGGTATGAAGGAGTACAGGAGACATGGGAATAATGCGTGCATCTAGGGTGGATGGAAATGCACATAGGGTTCATGCAGGGTATATACTTGAGCAAGCCTTGAGATTAGAGTAGAGTTGGAGATAGAGAGTTGAGCAGAGTACAACGAGATTGTCTTGCTGTGCAGACGCCTCAGGTCATGCATGTGTGAAGTAAGCAATCATTCTACATGAGGCAGTGAGTGTTCCTCATGGTTTCTGGTCATCTATTGTGTATCGATGAGTCTCAATGATTGAGAGTCTGACCAGTCCACTGTAGAATTCCTGGGAGTTGACTGACTTGCACCTGTTTGCCTGTCAAGGAAACTTAGAGTGTTGCAGAAGTTCCAGTCAGTCGCAAATGGACGTGCCAGTTTAATGTGTTAGATTTATCTTGGTCCAGCTGGGTAAGAGAATTGAAGTGTGTTCATTCTTACTACCATCTGCTGGCTAGAGCACACGACACGCACACACATCATGATTGTAACTGATTCAGAAAGCATGCCGAGGAAGATCAGAACAGGTATGCTTCATGCAGAGTGGCATGCTTCTCTGCCGAGGACACGGGTGAGGAGTACTGTCTGGATTTTTTCATCGGGTTACGCCAGTGTGTTGGGAAATGAACAGGCGGACAGACTGGCTGGCTCTGCACAACCAGGTGGAATACTGATACATGATAAGGCAGACATGGTTAGTGCCTTGTGGGAGAGAGTGTGCAGTTCAGAGGAGCAGATGGATCACCACAGTCTGGTGAGATTGATGCGGGGAAAAGGGGGGGGGGGGGGGGGTGACGAGAGATTCTGGCAGATGCTCGAGGCTCAGAGAAAAGGCAAGATGGACGTTTAATCAGATTGCTACTGGCACCATTAGTATCGGAACTCTATGCTGTGATGTCGGTTCTTGAATCAAATCAATCAAATCAATCTAACTACCAGCCCGAAGCAGAGGGTTGGTCAGCAACCGTAGGCACGGAAACGGCTACATCTCAAGAGTGAGGATCGACAGCGAGTGGGGCTGGTAGTTGAGGAACGCCACTAGAAACTGCTAGGAGAAGAGGGAGCTTGAGGTGTAGCTATTGATAGCCGTTATATTCACATGACATTGGCTTGTTTCTTAATTCATCCTTTTATGTGAGCTTGATGGTGGACATGCTCGTGTTGTAAATAAATACTTGTGACGGTGAACTATAGTTGTGTTCTTTAAGTCCGCAAAGTCATAGTATGAACGAGAATCATTACTTGGACACTTGGTATGTTTGCTGGACACGTCCGCCTCAGTTTACACACAACAAAGCGGTCACCCTAGTACCTCATTGCTAGTGACAAGGCAGGTAAATGCTCCTGTTAAAAGGCATTCCATGCTTGCAAATACATTTGCCACAGCGATTAAAGCCCATTGGGTGCCTGGGTTCACCTTAGGCGTAAAGGACCCTTCAGGCTTATTGGAAATATAGAGCTACACATACATTTTATAGAACAATCGGCACTCGGTTGACCATATGGTAAATGCCGGCCGCCTTTACCTCCCATATTGGTACCTGCTATCCGTTTAAGGCTATGTCGACCTGAGAGCCAAGGTCATTAAAAACAAATATGGCTTCTTCAAGACCTGAACCCAGGACCTTTCTATCCTCTGGCAAAAGTCTAGTTGCTTCACCACAGCGGCACCCTTATTTTAGACATGGATTTTGAAAAAAAATCTAGGTGGACTACTCTAAATCCGCTGTTTTGTGCCTTTGTGCCCGATCAAGGGCAACAACCTGGGTGGGGCTTTAAAATAATTTTAAAAATAAATTGCTTCCCATATTGGGACAGAGATTGAGAAGTAGTAGAAGTAATTTTTCAAAACATCCTGTCTAACCGCCAGGGTTATAATTAGGAAATATATTGTCAATTGAGTTCTTAGAGTATATATTTGTTCCTTAAAATGTATAGTTCTTGTAATTATTTATGTAATTATTGTTATTTGAAGCCCCACCCTGGCTTTTTTCTGGGGGGTACTGAATATAGCCAGGCCATAAATGTGGCCATAACGACTGAAACGGGTTTCTGGGACCTCTCTATGGGTGATCTTTATCCGCATAGAGGCATTTTGTGTCACTGAGTGTTTTATCACTTGTGTGATGTCCTGGTAGGGTACAAAAAGCAAGCAAGCAATCATTTATATGACTAAAATAGCATATCGAGACTGTGATAGATTATTAATGTGTCATCTTAGGGTTATTTTCTTAGAAACAAGCAGTAACAGATTTTTATTTAAAATATGTAATGTCAATATCTACAGGATATGGAACAAATCATTGGAAGGAGGCTGTAACTGGAGCTGTGGATTCAATTTATCTCCGTTTAAGGGAGAGAAACCACTGCAACCACAGGGATTACCAGAATATTGCTGTCAATGGTAAGACACAGGGGCTGAGTGGTCTTGAGGTATGGTGTCCGCTTCGAGTGCTAGAGGTCCTGTGTTTAAGCCTCGGTGAAGGCTGAGATTTTTTCATGTGGACTTCTAGTAATTTCCAATGGTCTCTGTGTAGTAAGATCGGATGCCCGTGTGTATTCTTGAGTACGTAAAAAATCACTTGGCAGTTGGAGATTGAAAAGAATAGCCTTACGACACTGCCCCGGCAAAATTTGGAGTTAAAAACGTAAACAAATGGTAAGGCAGATCCATTCCATTTTACAAAAAACAAAAAACAAAAACAACAAAAACTCCACCACGTTTTACCTACTGTTGGCAGCGTCAGTCATACTTATGGTCTGATTTATTTGCGCCACTTTCGTGGCTAAGATTTGGTATGTGCGCCAGCTCTCTGGCCTAATGTTCTTTTCCTCAAAGACAGACACCGCTCCTTCCTTTTCTGTTTCCCAATGATTTCTCCTGCCCTTATCTTCCTGATGTTTTCCTCATTGATTATCCTCCATTCTATAGCTCAGACAGATCATAATGATGTAGACATCAGGGATGCAGTTAGATTGGAGTTAGCTGCCACCTTGAAGAATATGCATTATGAAGACATCATACAAGTAGAAGATATCAAAAAAACTTTGAAAAAAAGCAACTACAACAGGGCCTGATGGAGTCAGGTATGGTCACTTGAAGGTTTTGAGCGATGTAGACCTAGCAGAGATGGCCGACTGTTTTAACCAGAGTATTAAGACAGCATCAGTACCACAGGACTAGGTGCACAGCTATCTAATCCCACCACCAAAACCTTTTAAAGATCATTCTAAGCTTAGTGGCTTAAGAATCATCACCTTACAAAACACATTTGGGAAGGTCTTGGAGAAGATTGTTGCTGTAAAGCTGCTAGAATTTTTGGAAAGGAGGAAGCTTCTCCCAAGAGCTCAGGGAAGCTACAGGCCAGGAAAGGACACATGGGCAAATGCGGCCACTTTTGCTTTTGACGTCTATGAAGGGTTCCAGAGCAGACAAGAAACTATGGCTGTAGGACTGGATCTCGAGGATGCTTATAACAGAGTGAGATACGACATCTAAATGACTGCACTGTAGGAGAAGAAGGTCAGTCCATGGCGGGTGAATTGGGTTGCAGCTGTCCTGTATTTACGTTGGGTTGCTCTCTGACTAGGCTCATGGACCTCAGAACCTTGCACTTTGGCCCCAGGACTGCCACGGGGATCTGCCATCTCGTCTGTGCTCTTTAACGTGTATACGAGCAAGATTGTAAGCCTAGAAGCCCCAGGAGTTGGAGGGATACTGACTTTTGCGGATGATATAATTGCATATAGGCAGGTGGAAGAGAGGGAACAAACAACCTGAGAGCTAGAAGCAACAGTAGACAAAGTGACTGAGTGATGTACAGCAATGAGGGCTGTCGTCCACCTGGAAAAGGCGTCTGCTTTGTGGTGTTCTCTGGACAACAGAATTGTTAAACCTAATGTCCCAAGTCTCACGATAGATGGTAGAAACTTCAACAGAGACAGCAAACTGAAGTATCTGGGAATTACATTTGACAGGAGCCTGCCATTTAAGGACCATGTGGAGAGTGTTATGACAAGATGCCAAAAAAGACTTAGTGCACTTAAGACTATGGCTGAAATTGACATAGAGCAGAGAATACTTTTCACACTATATCAGCACCTGATCCTGTCAGTGGTTGATTATGGCCCGGGACTGCTTACATCTCAGAGAGTCAGATGGACAAACTAGAGCGCATACAGAGCGCGGCTATGCAGGTCATTCAGGGTTGCACCAGAGATACACCAGTGGTATATATGCGACACAACCTTGGTTTGCAGACGGTTGCAGGTAGGCACCAGGTACTGCAGGAGAAGTCATATCTCAGGGTAGCTGCAGACACAGATCACCCTTTGCATAAAGCTCTAGGTGCAGTTAAGAGTCAGCGGCTGATAAGGGGCAGGTCATGGATGGCTCAGGCAGAAAACTGTTCATTTCCCAACACACCGGCGTGCTCCGGTAAGAAAATCCAGACAATACTTCTCACCCGTGTCCTCCGCAGTGAAGCATGCCACTCTGCACGAAGCATACCTGTTATGATCTTCCTCAGCATGCTTTCTGAGTCATTTACAATCACGATGTGTGTGTGTGTGTTGGTTCTCTAGCCAGCGGAAAGCTGCAGTGACCGCCTCCACTTCCATTCTTAAGCTGGATGTTGTGGTATCATATGCTAGGCTCTCCTGCACCAAAAGTCGACCATTAACTTTTGCTAAGAAGCCCCAAGCACTTCTTTTGCTTCTTGACACTGAACCATCTGTGGAAATGATCAAATCCTCTGAGCGAGCATTATCTTGAATTAAATGCTAAATTTCCACCTCTGTGGCACCTGCTGGCCAGTCTCTGCATTCCCGGCTCAGTGTGATTATGACTCTACACAAGTCTGACTGTTCAGGTGGCACTTTGGCCCAATCCTCTCCTCGCCTAATGTTCTCAAGGATGCAAATCTGTCTGATTATGTCTTCTGCCTGACATATTAATTGTATTTACCCCCCCCCACCCCTCACCACGCCCTCCCCCTACACCACACCCCTTCCCCTCTTCCAGGTTCGAGGCCTGTAATACTGACACCCAGTGATTACTGACAAGTTTGTGGTAGACAGATAGATGCCACTTCCATCCACTCACATGCTGTTTGCTAAAACAAGAAGTTAACTCGCTAATAGTATGAAACATCTAAATATTCCCAGTACTGCAAATTACGAAAGCCAAAACGGAATTTTGCCAGCATAATGTATATAAGTTAGTTGCGTATCCTTTATGTTATATTACACACTAGAAATTCCCATGCGTGCTGAGTCTTTTGATACAGCAGCCACTCCAACGTACCTTTACTGATTATTCCCATAAGGAGCTGGTTATGTTTCCTATCTCAGCCTCAGAAGTGGCATAGACGTTCTTCACCATGCTTGACTCCAATGACACCCAATCATGTTAGTGTCCGAGATGACACTGTGCCACTCCTGTAAACAAGGCTACAAACAAACCCGATTTGTGGTTTTACAGGCCAATGTTCACGTTCACTAGTTTGCCATTGCCGCTAAACGGACTACTCTCGATAACATTGTTGAAATCAATGCAAAGCGGTGTTCTGTCAAATCGTCCGCAGCTGAAATCGAACAGGTTATCTCAGAATTACAAACTGCCTTCACAGCTCCTAAGCCAGAGATGCCAACACATAATGTGTATAGAAATGTGCAATCTTCGTGTGGGTTTAGGGGTACATTGTGAGGATGTGGTCAAAGGTGACTTATTAAGGTTTTACTGAAATCTAATGTTTTGGGCCAATTGGTGCAGATATCGCATCTTACCTGTAAAGCACAACACGACATACCGCCATAGTTATAAGGTGGCGCAGAAGAAGAAGAAAAAGAAAAAAAAATATGGGAGAGGAGGATGGCGATGATGAGAACAAACATTAATAATAAAAATAATAATAATAATTAAATAATAATCTTGTATAGTTTTTGAAATATTTTTTTTTTAGGAGAGAGGTCATTTTCAGCAAGAAAACTTGTACACTCGTAAGTAGTGCAGTTTCTCTGATATATGTTTGGTACCAGTGATTTATTCTATGTGAAATGGAGGATCATCTGTATCAGAGTTTATTGAAAGTATCACTGTGTCACTTTCAAAGACATAATATACATTGTGCTGCATAGTAAAATATTTAGCCAGATTCCTGGAGCAGACATAAAGCAAACATACAAAATAGAACACACAATGTGTGGCTGTGACACACTTGTGCACTAGCTAATAACACAGTGTGTTGTTTGAGACAGAAAGAGGTAAAAGACGTTTAATTTTTTTTTTTACTAATCAAAAGAACCAACTTCATTACATTTTGTTCCCCAAGTGGGTTCCAAGGCCCCAATGTGGGGAAGACAAGAATAGGCCCACTGATTCCCCATCAAGCAGGTCGTAGGAGTCGACTAATTGGGCGCTTCCTTCGAAGTCGGAATGCATCAGCCCGAGCGGCAAGGAACAACCAGCTGGGGAAAAAAATAAGCCAGTAAAATGGAGATACAGTCACATAGCCAGTCCAAGTGGACGAACAAACAGGACTTTCCACCACCAGAGCTTTCAGCTGATTAACAAAGAAGAAAAAGTTAAAAACAACCAGGCAGGTTAACCTTTACAACAAATATCTGCAGAATTAAGATGTGTCGGCCGAAAGGCACAAAGCCAAATACTAAAAGGACGAACAACCCATGACCTTCCGTTGGAGAAGAAAGAAGAAAAAAGGTTGCATCGTGTTTTACCAAACGTGACTTCTCTTCTTAGTTCTGGCGACCTCTACCCTTTGGTCGTAACTAACCAAAACAATTAGGAGCGCAGTGCAAAAGGCCTAACCATTATACTTACAGACGCCCTGCCTCCAGCAAATAAACTTTTTTTTTTAATGAATGTGAATTGAGTATTGAGAAACTGAATGTAACTTGTCAATAAGCGAAGTCGCTGTGTTTGAACTGATTCTACAGACTCTCCTGTCTGAGGGGAAAAAAATAAGCCAGTAAAATGGAGATACAGTCACATAGCCAGTCCAAGTGGACGAACAAACAGGACTTTCCACCACCAGAGCTTTCAGCTGATTAACAAAGAAGAAAAAGTTAAAAACAACCAGGCAGGTTAACCTTTACAACAAATATCTGCAGAATTAAGATGTGTCGGCCGAAAGGCACAAAGCCAAATACTAAAAGGACGAACAACCCATGACCTTCCGTTGGAGAAGAAAGAAGAAAAAAGGTTGCATCGTGTTTTACCAAACGTGACTTCTCTTCTTAGTTCCGGCGACCTCTACCCTTTGGTCGTAACTAACCAAAACAATTAGGAGCGCAGTGCAAAAGGCCTAACCATTATACTTACAGACGCCCTGCCTCCAGAAAATAAACTTTTTTTTTTAATGAATGTGAATTGAGTATTGAGAAACTGAATGTAACTTGTCAATAAGCGAAGTCGCTGTGTTTGAACTGATTCTACAGACTCTCCCGTCTGAGGGACAAAGATAAGCCACTGATTGTCTTCCATGTTCTTGTGGGAAATGATGTCTGTAATGGGTAAGTAACCATCATCGACTTTATCTTTACCATTCTATGGACCAACATCATGGCACATGGGTGTAACCCATAAGTGCTCCATTCTACTTCTAGCTCAAGCCTGAGTCTGAAGAATCTCAACGCAGTGCACGAACTCCGTAGCACCGGCGAGGATCCTGAAATACTTTGGGTAGATTTTTTACTCCGAATCAGAGACAAAAATATACAAATCAGAGACAAAATATACAAATTGCAGGATATTAGAAGCATTCTGTGGCAGTCGTGAAACACCGCAAGCTAGCTTGGTTTGGGCACTTGATGAGAAACGATTTGATTGCAAAGATTGTACTTTGAAAAGGAACATTTGGGGGTGTCGTATGGCAGTTTTGTCGCGCACCTTTACTAACGGAATATTTTCACAATCCCTCAGGCGCTCTGAGACAGGAGTGTTTTGAATAGTGGCTCTCGTTCGTCTAGAGGCCTAACCCTCGGTTCAAACTTTCCATTCAACCTGTCTCAGGGATGAGGTGACTTGAGCTCTGACTCCACAGGGTTATTATGAACACTTGGGTACCTCTCGGCCAGACGTCCTCATCACTGTTATGCCCCCAGACTGGTAACAATGTAACACAGTCAAACAAGTAAACAACAGTGTATATGACAAGACAGGACTACCTTTCTGAATACTTCAATAAATTCCAATAAGACAAAACTTTTCTAAGAACCAGAAGACTGATGAACTAATAATTCAATGTAATAAGTTCACTACAACAAAGCAGACGAAAAATAACCTGAAGAATCAACTGAAAGAATACTGAATTCTTTAAAGAACAATGCTAGAGAAAGAGTCTTCCTCCTAATCTACGTCTCTTTCCGGTATCATCACAGCTGAGGTGTAGGATAGATTGCAAAGGCCCATTTGGAATCAAGCTGCCTCTGAATGTCACTCTGACTTATCTGTTTAGATCTTGTAGCTCCTCAGGATGCCGGAATGGAGTTTCAGACCACTTCCCTTCTTAGAACGACTACGCAAGAACGATGTGGCTTCTGTAATAGATCAAGGACGATTAACTCGAGATCGGAAGATGTCAACTCTAGTACTGTCTTCACACTCAGCAACAGCAATTCACCTCTCGTCAACAGCTTCTTGGGTGGTGCTAGGTAGAAGCACTTGGTTGGATGGTGCTAGGTGGAAGCACTCGGTTAGACCACGGACGCTCGTTGGATCTTCAGAAATCCTGAAAAACACAAAGCAACACCCATGAGCGAACCGTACCTAACGCACCTAGTCAATCAATGTCCTTACCATCTCCTCATGCTCAGATATACTTGAGGTTAGTCCAAACCATGAAAGTTGGTTACCTCTATCTTGGAATCCATTCAGTTTACCAGAGTGAGCACCAGATCATTAACTCGAATAGTTTCTGAATTCAGTCCTGTAGTGAAAGCCAGACAGATCTCCATTATTTCCCATCCCTTTTAATATACCTTTTTCACTAATTGGAAAGATACGGTATAGGAGATGAAGTCAAAACTAAGATCGAAGGAAATATGCTCCGAAAGTATAGTAGTACGACAGTCTAAGCTTGTTGTGGTTACAAAGCTCCTAGCAACAGCGGATATGACGTCATGTCTGCCCCGAAGCTCCTTGTCATTCATAATGGTTCAGCGACTCACCAAGTTCAGAGACCGACTAACAGCAAACAACTAATCATATAAAGTTAACACTACCATAAATACACTCCAGATATGTGGATTGATCGATCCGAAGAGGTTTAGAAGGCCGGTTCGAAGAATTCTCCGAGAAATTTCAGCCGAAAGTGCATTCCAATCTGTAGCTCCATTTGCCGTCCTCCATTGCAAGGATCGTAGACAAACAGATTCGCATTATCAATCTGCTGATCTTACTTACCAACACCACAGACACTCTGAGCACAAATATTCAATTAAAAACCCTTATGAAAACTCACCCATGATAAACGAAAAGAGAATAAAGAATCTTGTCTTTTTAACGGTCAAGTGGCAACACAACAGGAAAGCGTCTGCCTCATAGACCGGACCATAGAGAAGTGACGCATACAAATACGTTCCCCAACTACAGCAGTTGGCGTAAGAATCCTGCTCATGTATGCAGTACAGTGGCCAGACAATTTATTTTAAATAGGCGTAGAAAATGTGTCCTAACGTGTAAATCGATACTAAAAGCCTAAAAGAATCAATATCATAGTGATTTATAGGGATTTTTCTTATCTGGACCCCCCCCCCCCCCTTTCCCCCACAACAAACGAACTAGATAACTACGGTTGGCCTATCGTATCTCGTAGTTACAATGACGATTTTGGGGGTGTTCAGACTGTGGACCTGCCCAAGGCGGCAGATGTGTGTATACTGTCATGCGACAGGGGGGTTGAAGAAGAGGAGGAAAAAAGAACGTGGAATTACAACAGTCAATAAATGGACAGGACTAAGTTATCATACATTTATTCATCAAGCGGAAGACAGAGAAAGATGGCGGGTTTTGTGTTCTAGTGCTTTCATCAATACACCTCCACGACCCTAACGGGTCAAGGGTTATGTTATTTTATATACCTTTTTAATGTCTTGTATCCACCTTCAAGAAGGTCTGCCACGTCTTCGTTTTCCTCAGATTTCGGGACCAGGTGCTGTTTTTGAACCAGTTATCCTCCATCTTCAGATTTTGTCTGTGGTTTTTCTATTAATTTTTCCACACAAAATTTTTCCTTGCTTGCTTTCTAAGTGATTCCATAAGTGAAGATAGAAACAGGATGGGTTTGAAGAAAAGAGTTGGACTCGCTGAGAAAATGTTACCTGAAAGGAATTAGTTTAATTTTTGTGCCTGGACACTCTGGGGTAAGAGGGAATGAACGAGCAGATTGGCTTGCTGGCAGGGCCACGGTAGGTACAGGAAAAACTATTAACCAAGCTGATATTCTCAGTGCTCTCAAGGAGACAGTACAAGAAGATGCAGGAGACTACGTTGAATCGGCAACACTCAGAAGACTACAAGAACTTAAGGTCAAAAGAGGTGTCGCCAGACATGAACACAACAGAGTTAGCCACAAAAAAGAATAGTAAACCAACACAGCACTGGTGTTATCAGTGTTATAGGTGATGTACTGAAGATAAGATCTGAGCGCTTATAGACTTGTCCGATCTACAGTAAGGATAGTCTGTCGATTAACTAACATTGTCTGTAACATTTCTTTCGAAAGCTCAGATTTGTTATTTTTTCAGTGACTGAATAAGAGTCTAAAAGTTGCCACTTGAATGATGCCTGATCTCAAAAGTTTTACTTTCATAAACAAACACGTAGAGTATAATATAAGAAATTATTTATTTACAAGGCATATATATCTTACTTTATTTTACTCCAGCCATGTGGACACGCTTTCTCATATGACAACACCTGCCGTCTTTTACAACAACACAGTGGAGATTTTAGAAACACTGGTAAGCTGTTTGTGTGTGTGAGTGAGTGAGAGAGAGAGTGAAAGAAAGATTTAGACAGAGAGAGAGAGTGAAAGAGAGAGATGGAGACAGAGAGTAAGTGAAATAGAGAGATATAGACAGAGAGAGTAAGTGAAAGAGAGAGAGACACAGAGAGAAAGATAGAGAGAATGAGTGAGAGACAGAGGGAGTGAGGGAAAGACAGATACACAGAAAGAGTGAGTGAAAAAGAGAGACAGCGAGAGTGAGTGAAAGAGAGAGACAAAAATAGAGACTGAGAGAGTGAGTGAAAGACAGAGAGATTGAAAAAGAGAGAGAGTGAATGAGAGAGAGAGAGAGTGAAAGAGAGAGAGGGGGAAAGAGGGAAAGTGAAAGAGAGAGAGTGAAAGAGAGAGAGAGAGAATAGAGGGAGAGACTGGTAAGTGTCACGAGACGATGTTGTCACATGCCTTAATTAGGGTCTCCCCTAACAATAAAAGACACTCTGAAGTGATATATTGTTGGGAAGGCGGCTTGTATTTTTTTTTTTTTAATCGATCACCGGCTGTGAATTCCAGTGGAAGGTCCCGGTTAATCGTCCGCTTGGACTTTTGGCTTTCACCTGGACCTGATTTTTGCGTGTACAACCGTTTTTCATTTCCCTGCCTCATGGGCAGCTGTACTCCGACTTCGAAGGAAGACGTCAGGCCTATTTCTAGGTTGACTGTGGCCATTGTTTTGTGTGGGTCGAGACGTTGCCTGATTTGTGTGGTGTCCACTTTGTCCCCTTCGCCGCAGGTATTGCCCTCGGAGTACCCCTTTGGGGCAGCCCCCTGTGGAACAGTTAACCCTCAAGGGAAGGCAGGGGCAGATCATGGGCATTCCCCGCCATCCAAGGAGGCTTCCATGCATGCAGAGCCGGCACATGGTTCTGGGCTCACCCAAGGAATCGTCACGTCCTGCACATGCCTGCTTAACCTCACAACCGTGCGGCTTGTATTGATCTCTGTGGTAATCTGCAGCTCCAACAACCACCCAACACCACTTCAGGGATGAGGCAACTCAAGTATTTGGCGCCACAGAATTTCCAAAGGCATTCCTGGGCACGACTTGGCCAGACTTCCTCAACACTTAATAGCCCCCTGACTGGAAAGAATCACTATCACAGTCAAAATATAAACACAGTACAACAATGCACACAATGCCTAACTACAGTGAACTGTGAAATATTGCACACCAACAACTGTAAGCTCAGAATAACAATGCATGGTGTAATAAGTTCCAACAAATATATAAGAAATCCTAATGGACTGATATAGAAGGAAAGAACAATATAATAGTATGACACAAGTAATGTCTCAGTCAGGAATGACTACAGGCCTGACTTAAATCACTGTTTGTTTTCCATTATTGCCCGGATGATGTAATAAGGTAATTGTAAGCTCGTGGCATGAATGAACCAGTTGGCTGTACTTCAGGGTGACGGCTTAAGTAATCTGCCCCCACATTCTAAATTCCAGGGGTGTATTCCACAGTAAAAGAATAGGGTTGAAGAAGTAAAGACCATCTCATGAGCCTCGGATTTAAATGTGTGGACGAAGGCAAAAACACAAGAGGTTGATGATCTGTTTGTACAGTAAACTGCACTACATACAAGAATAGCTGGAGTTTCTGGACACTCCAACCCAGTGCCAAACATTCTTTCTCAATAGACGAATAATGACCTTCTGCCTTATTCATTTTCCTACTGGCATACACCACAGGAAAAAAGTTTCTCAGTATTCCGTACTCCTGGTTGTAACAGTGTGGATCCAATTCCAATGTTACTAGCATCAGTGCGTAAAATGAATAGTTTGGTCAGATCAGGAAGCTGCAGCACTGGTGAAGATGTCAACTTTTCCTTGAAGGTGTAAGCATCCTCGCACTGAAGGGTCCAATATACCTTATCAGGCCAATCCTTTTTAGTTGCGTCAGTCAGGGGTGCAGCTCTCGAGTTAAAATTATGTATGAATTTCTGGTAGTACCCACACAGGGAAACGAATGAGCTGACGTCCTTCTTAATTTTGGGCCTCTATACTTTACTGAGTTTCCTAATGTTCCCTGGCTCTGGGCTTATTGTTCCTTCCGAAACTGTGTGTCGAAGGAACTCCAAATTCTGTCAGGCCATCTTACACTAAGTTGGTCTAGTTTTTGTCAATCTCTGCATTAGTGTAACACGTAGTGTTACGGGATGATTATGATGGTGAGCTTCTGTTGATCTAAATACCAGCTGATTTCTTTCTAGAATACAAAGCTTCCAAAGGGGAGTCACGTGTTCCTGATAGGCCTGGCTGATGGGCAAGTACTCTATGATGGACTGGCCGAGAGAACGCACCCTTTGGGTTCGTACTGGGGGACGTTTACTTATGCCAAATTCTACGACTTACTGAACTGTCTTCAGGTATTGTTAACATATTATTGTCTGTTGAAGAACCAGCATTGTTAACATATTATGACCTTTTAGAGAATCAGGTAGTGTTAAGATTTAATTTTATGTTAAAGAATAAGGTATTGTTAACATGTTACTGTCTGTTAAAAAATCAGGCACTGTTAACACATTATTGCCTTCTACAGAATCAGCATAGTTAACCTAGTATGGCTTGTTAGAGAATCAGATATTGTTAACATTTTATTTTCTGTTAAAAAATCAGGTATTGTTAGCATATTATTGTCAGAGAATCAGGTATTGTTAACCTATTATTGCCTGTTAGAGAATCAGGTATTGTTAACACATTATTGTCTGAGAATCCGGTATTATTAACTAATTACGATCACTTTGAGGGTAAGATATTGTTCATAAATTATTGTTAATGGTATCTCATTAGTTATATACTGTGTAGGCACCGTTTCCATGCCTACAGTACACTGAATACAAAAATCTGTTGACTGTCACTTCAGATATCCCCCTGTACAGGATGGATGAACTCCAATAAGACAGTCAGAGATTTGACAACGAAAGTAAGTGAAATGTATTTCTAAAAGACAAATGTTACATGAAAGACTCCAATATAAAATAGCAATTGGGGGGGGGGGGGGGGGGAGGGGGGAAGGGGGGTGTCCCTCGTTTTCAGCTCAAGGTATTATAGTCACTCTAGCTATAACACATTAACAATGGGATGACAAGACAGAAAGATATTATAGTCACTCTAGCTATAACACATTAACAATGGGATGACAAGACAGAAAGATATTATAGTCACTCTAGCTATAACACATTAACAATGGGATGACAAGACAGAAAGATATTATAGTCACTCTAGCTATAACACATTAACAATGGGATGACAAGACAGAAAGATATTATATAATTAGAACTAGAAAGCATAAGTAATGTATCCATACGGATTCCCATGTCTCTTATACCTATAAATCTCTCAAATGTCATTCTAGATATGTGTCTGTCCATCCCTTACAGAGAGCAAATGAACTGTCTGATACTTTGCGCTGGATATCAGTGCAGCAGAGACACAGCTACTCGAACTTCCAGCTCTATTATCTGGACAATCCTGTTAACGAAGGTATTGCTAGTTTAAAAACATTCCTGTTTGGTTTTCAGAGTCCTGTTGGAGGAAAGGGGAAGGGGGGGGGGGGGGGGGGGGGGGGGGGGGGGGGGGGGGGGTAGACCCACTGCCTCCCCTAACAAGCATGTCGTAAACATCGACCAATTAGGAGTTTCCGTAAGAGTCTGAGTGCATCTGCATGAGAGGCAGGCAAGAAACCAGCTGTCTGCATACAAATTAGCCAGATTTGTAAAACGAAAAAAATAAGTTCTGGAACAAGAGTCTGAGTGCATCTGCATGAGAGGCAGGCAAGAAACCAGCTGTCTGCATACAAATTAGCCAGATTTGTAAAACGAAAAAAAATAAGTTCTGGAACAAGATCAATGTCAAGAAGTGGATGAACAACCATAACTTTCAAGCGGAGTTTTCAGCTGGTGCATGCAAAGAAGGAGGAGGAGATAACATCAGTTGTCAAAAGTCCTGTCAAAATAGTGCTGTCACCTAAATTTGTGAATGTTGATTCGCTGGTGAATCTGTTAGATCTGTTGGTGAACTTTCTAGAACAAATTTTAGCAGTCCATGTTGTCATATACAACACACATGCACTCACACACATGCACACACAGACACCTGAAGTTCAGAATGCAATGCGAGTCGCTGTGGTGTAGCGGCTAGATGCTCACCTGCAGATCCAAAGGTCATAGGTTAAATCCTGACAGAGCCGAACTGGTTTTTTTAAAAGATGGCTCCCAGGTTGACCCAGCCTTAAACTGGGTACCAGGTGAAGTCCTGACAAGTAAAGGCGGCCGGCACAGTATTCACCATGTCATTCAATGAGTGCCGATTGATCTATAAAATATAGAGCTAATCCCATATGCCCAATATACCTGAAGATGTGGAAAATTGTCTTTACTTTACTTTAGAATGCAATCCTTTTTGTGATTCTAATATTGATAAATTATGCGTTGTTTCGTATGACTATTAGAAAGTATGCGGTTCTTGGGAGACCTTTAAAAACAAGATGGGCCCATAGGTTTCACCAAACTGGGACCACTGCATCAAGTTATCACACAGGATTTGACTGTATTGTACTGCAAGCAAATGTAGCCGGACGGCGACATACTAGTAAATTCAGTTGGATTGACTTGTGGAAAAATCTGGCATGGAGGAGACTATAAAAAGGCTTGTACTGTGCTGCGCGCCCTTAGATATGTTTTATAATCATCACCATCTTGTGGGATGTAATTTTTGTTATTTTGAAGCTTCACCCTGGCTCTTGCCAGGGGCCGCAATAAAGCCTGGCCATAATTATGGTCTAATGGCTGAACGCTGTTTCTGGGACCTCTCCACGGGTGATCCTCATCCACATGGTGGCACTTTGTGTCATCAGGTGTTTATCGCTTGTGTGATGTCCCAGTGGGGTAAAATTTACACTTACTACTACTGCTGCGCGCCCTCTTTGGGTGTGTGTCTTGTGCTCTGGGCAGTTGCATTTGGGAAAGGAAGTGGTCCCTTGAACCAACATCACAAACACTGGGCGGAGGGGAACCAGTTCCTGATGTGTTAGGTCATGTATTCTGTGCCATGATCTTTGTGTGGACGGGAACCAGTTCCTGAAGTGTTAGGCCTGAATCAATATTTTGATTCTGTGTTGACTTCGGACAGGAGTTGACCAGTGGATTCACGGAGTGTTAACCGGCCTGGGTAAATATTCATACCAATTTCGTGTCGAGCAAGGCTGAGGCTAGAAAGATGGAACAACAGTGAATAAGTGTGGGGGTCTCAATTATCACAGAGAAATCACAGAGAAATCGAATATACTGGAGGGGGTAGTTGAGAAGAGTCAAGCAGAGGGAGCTATGTGTTCCTCTGTAAGGAAGCTTATCTAGGGTGACGACGCGTGTGGCGTGCATGCTCACTACTGAAACAAGACAGCAACTCTACTTACGAGGATTGACCCTCGTAGATATCGGCCATCGGCTGTGTGCTGATGGGACTCGAGAGTTTGGAGTCCTGCCGGTCATCGTAGAATTCCTCAACGGGGTTGATTTGTTGTGTGCATTTTGAGGAACTTAAGTATTGTAGAGGTTCCCTGTCAACCGATGTACAAGTGCCTGTTACTGAGTATAGCAACGGAGGTCAAGCTGAGTAAGTTAGATGGAGACTGTCTTTACTGCTAGCCCTGACATGAGGGTTAGCCAGCGACCGAGGCTTGGAAGCGGTCAGCTCAAGAGTCTGATTGACCGCAAGTGTAGGCTGTATTATGGAGCGTTGCCAGGACTGTGCTGGAGAACGCGAATCTTGATGGAGTTAATTCCATATAAGCCAGGGTATGAATATGCATGATGTTGCTTCATTTCCATGTATTGTGTGCCGGTTGGTAGACCCGAATGTTCTTGTTAATAAACAGATGACGGACAACCATTGTTGAGTTTTCCTGACTGTGCGAGTGTTGCAGAGTTCGAGCGCAAATCTGATTTCAGCAAACTCCCAGTGAATTACAATATTCTAGTTTGGGAGCAGTGGGCCTGTTCTTTTTCTTCTTCTTACTGTTCACCAGCTCTTACTGTTCACCAGCTCTTACTGTTCACCAGCTCTTACTGTTCACCAGCTCTTACTGTTCACCAGCTCTTACTGTTCACCAGCTCTTACTGTTCACCAGCTCTTACTGTTCACCAGCTCTTACTGTTCACCAGTTCTTACTGTTCACCAGCTCTTACTGTTCACCAGCTCTTACTGTTCACCAGCTCTTACTGTTCACCAGCTCTTACTGTTCACCAGCTCTTACTGTTCACCAGCTCTTACTGTTCACCAGCTCTTACTGTTCACCAGCTCTTACTGTTCACCAGCTCTTACTGTTCACCAGCTCTTACTGTTCACCAGCTCTTACTGTTCACCAGCTCTTACTGTTCACCAGCTCTTACTGTTCACCAGCTCTTACTGTTCACCAGCTCTTACTGTTCACCAGCTCTTACTGTTCACCAGCTCTTACTGTTCACCAGCTCTTACTGTTCACCAGCTCTTACTGTTCACCAGCTGTAAACTCTGGCAGACAGTTCTGGTTGTTGTTCCACTTCTGGAGTTCGGTCTTGTTCCAGAACTTGATTTTTACTGTTTTACAGATCTGGTTTTTATTAAATGCAGACTGTTGGCTCCTCGCATATAAGGCAGATGCACTCCGATTTTGAAGGAAAATCCTTATTTAGTTGACTATACAACATGCTTTTTAGGGGTCAGTGCGTCTATTTCCTTCACCTTCAAAATTAGTCCCGTAACTCACACAGGGAAGTTTATTCTCGCCTCAGCCCTCTCTTCCCTCCCTTTTCTAATTTAAAGACCAAAAACTTATCGAGGAATCTTTGTACAAAATGAACTAAAACCACACCACCCATTTTCATTACAGTCATTGCAACGTGGAGGAAACAAGGTGGCCAGATTTGGCAGCTGATTGATGCAGCAGACGGCTTTCATACCAGTCAAGTGAGAAAAGTTGCTCTTTTACTGTTATTGTATCACTACCACCACTACTGCTCCAACAGTAATTATTGCCGCTAGTACTGCTACATTGTAGGCGCAAGACCGGCTTCAGGGGTGCCGCGAATGTATGTCAGGGGAGCCGTGGCAATAATAAAGAATTTTTAGAAATCTGCTTGACATTAAATTAGCACTTTTTTCTTTCTTCTTTTCTCAAGTATTCAAACTGCATACATTTTTTTTTCGTTGCCCGACGAAACAAGTTTGAGAAATGCTGCATTAGCGTATCGTTAGCCCGGTTTAGTGACGTCAGCAGCATGGACTATCAGCTGGAGCCAGTCTTGGTCGGCGTCTGTGGCTTAGGCGTTGGAACGGCATTTGTAATACCGGGGTGCCAGGTTTGATCCCAGCTGCGGATGATTTGTCTTGCGTTGCTTTCGACAGTGGTACCAAGAGCTGACCGTCATTCTAACGAGATGGCCAAACAGACCACAGTTTGTTTTCTATCCATTCTAAAGTTGAAATAACTAGTTTAATCAAATTATTTCTACATTTGCAAATTTTTAATGTAGGGGCTTCACATGAAAACCTTAAAAGTGTTATATCATCATTATCATCAGGTGCCTTGCCGACTTGCGTGGGAGATCATGCCTCTCCATAATCCACGATCTCTTGCAGCATGTATCAGTTCATGTGCTGACACACCTCCATGCCATGCAACAAGACCGTCAAGAATCCTCTCTCGTTGTCTTCCTCTATCCCTCCTTCCACAGATCTTTCCAGTGGTCACAACATGTTCCGTATCCCCTCTTCTCATAACATAGCCCAAAAATATATATATACATATATACATATTGTAATAATTTTGCCACTGTCTTGTAACCTGTCAATATTGTTGTTAAGGATGTGACAGGTTTTGATATGCACTAAAGAGGAGCAGCCTTCTGTTATCTGTTTGTTTTTCTAATCAGTAAAAGGGTGAAACCCATAGAAATTCATCAGCAAATGAATGCCCAGTATAGTCCGCTAGTGCATGAAAGGAGAAGGAAGTTTCAAAATGGTGAGATTTCTGTGACAGGTTTTTAACCGGTTACGGCGGCATGAGATTTTAATGTGTATGTAAATACAACACATTAACACACACACATATATATATATATATATATATATATATATATATATATATATATATATATATATATATATATATATATATATATATATATATATATATATATATATATATATATATATATATATATATATATATGTATGTACAACAGGAAAATACCTAAATCTGCCTTGTTTATGGTAAACTGTTCTGAATTTGTCAAACAGTTAATGTACCTCCTATTTTAAAGTTGAAATATTCATTGATTCTAATGATTTCAACATACTCCCATTTTAAATTTAAATAAAATGGCTGACTCCAATAATTTGTTTCAACAGGTGACAAGTGCTCTAGCTGCCCAGGTCCTATGGGACAAGATTCTATCAGATTACCCAGAAGTCTTTGGAGCTCAGAATCCACATAATGAACTTATACAGAAATTGTTTGGAGATCAAGGAGGATACTAGCAAACAGAAAATAGCGGCATAATTAAAAATAAAAAAAAACAATGTTCCATGTGTCAGTAAGCAAGTAGTTCTTCTTCTTCTTCACGTTCACCAGCTGTACACTCTGGCGGAAAGTTCTGGTTGTTCGTCCACTACTGAACTGCAGTCCTGCTCCAGAACCTGAGTGTTGCGTGTGCATCAGTTTTACAGATCTCATTCTCTCGAATACAGACTGTTGGTTCCTTGCCTCTCCGGCAGATGCACTCCGACTTCAAAGGAAGCTCCCCAATTAGTCGACTCCTACGACATGCTTTTGGGGAGGCAGTGGGTCTATTCTTGTTTTCCCCTACAATGGGACCCCGGAACCCACACGGGGGGGGGGGGGTAAGCAAAAGGTATTAAAGGACCAATTCCACACCTTTGGCCCACCAGACATACATTTTTACAGACCAATCAGCACTCGATAGGTGATCATCATGCCGGCCACTTTTACTTCCCAGGACAATACCTGGTACCTATTTGAGGCTTGAATCGATCTAGAAGCCAAGGGAAACAAATCTGTCTCAATGTGAATTTGAATCTTAAATGTTCTAGTCGTGTTGCGATTGTAATAACAGAAAACTGGTTTCATTACTTCTACAAATGTGTTTCAAAAATAACAACTGTCTTCTTTATATTCTATCTTTTACTTTCCCGCAGAGTTTAGGACTCAACCAACTCACTCCAAGACTATATAAACTTGTTCACGTGTGTTGTTAACAGAGATTATTTGGAAGTAAATATGTAAATGGTTGTTTTTAAGGGTAGCCCTTGAAAACAAATATCTAAATGTTTGTATTTGCAACTCGTGATTGTATGAAAGAGTGTCAGGAAGGCCAAACGTTAAAGGCCCTGTGTTCAGGTCGTAGTCCCCTTTTTTGGATGTGGGTTTGAATAACACTTCTAACTCCTTGTGTGGGTTCCGGGGCTCTATTATAGGGAAGACAAGAATAGATCCACTGGATCTGAGTAGCAAGGAACCAACAGTCTGCACACACATGTGTCAGATCTGTCAAACGGATGCACATGCAGCACTCAGGTTCTGGAACAGGACTGCAGTCCAGAAGTGGACAAACAACCAGAACTTTCGGCCAGAGTTAACAGCTGGTGAACATGATGAAGAAGAAGAAGAAGACTTCTGACAATACTTTTCAGGAGGCTTGCTGAGCGGTTACAGTGTGCGGGTGACTAAGTTTTTTTTGTCGGGTGCACCAAAAAAAACAACATCCTAACCTGCAGTCTGCGGTGACAGCACTAGCTATGAGGTCCTAAATCCTCAGACACATGACACCCCCTTCCCCCATAGTGAATGCTGAATTAAGCATTGACATCAAATTAATTGGTACGCTCCAATAAATGCTCCGGCCCCGTATTCAGCAACAAGCGAAAGGTTCCGATTTCAATGGCACTAGTAACTGTCTGATTGTATATCTGTCTAGCCCTTTCCCTTGAGTGTTGAGCGTCTGCCAGATCCCCTGGTAACTCCTCACAGTACCATTATTCTCAGACCTCAATGATCTGTTTGTGCTTTCACACTGTTCACTCGCTCCCAAAGAGCCCTCACAACATCTAGCTTGTCATACATCAATTCACCACCAAGTGGTGCAGAACCGACAAGTCTGTCAGCCTGCTCATTTCCCACCACACCAGCATGACCTGGAGAAAATATCCAAAGGAGTTTAACTAACCAGGACCTCTGAAGGAATGCTCCTAAAAAGTGGTAAATATAGACAGTGGTAATAGTTTTTTTTTAACTCAAAGTGCCCAAAATTAACACAAAGTCAATTATTAAAAGAATAAATATTGTTACTATCAAATAAATTCAAATTCTGTGCCGCCTCTACAATGTTGACTATAATACACCTACTCTTGTCTTTGGGAATATTAGATGGTATGGCCCAGTCTGTTTCATAGTACGACTCTTACTACTGTCCGAAAGCCATGTGAACAGTTTTTTTTTAACTGCCCTCCACTGAAATTGCCTGCTTGATGCTGACCACATCTCACTCACTGCTCTATAAAATACAGATGTAGCATTCTTCTTTTTCTTCTGCCTTTCTAGCCTCCAATGGAGCATAGGCCCTCAACCAACTCAGGCCAAGTCATTCTATCTTTAGATGTAAGCTTGAAGGCGTGGAAAAGAAGTTTTTTACTTTAGCCCGGAAATCGAACCCTCATGCTCGAGGATGATCAAACAGTTAAACTCACTTACTAACCTCTAGGCCACAGAGCCATACTCTGCAAAATGACAAGTTATATAATTCTGAAGGAAGTCCCCGTTGTGGAGCGGCTAGATGCTCGCCATGTATCAGAAGGTCGTGGGTTCGCTCCCTGGCGGAGCCGGACTTTTAAAAAAAAATGACCTTGGCTCCCAGGTCGACCCAGCCTTGAGTGGGTACTGGGTGCAGTCCTGGGAAGTAAAGGCGGCTGACATGATGCTGACCACATCATCCATCTTGTGCCGATTGGTCGATAAAAATATAGGTCTAGCCCTATATGCCTAAAGGCGTGAAAAAGGGTCCTTTACTTTACTTACTTATAATTCTGAAACTTCAAGGAATAAAAAAAAATATTTTAAACAAACATTATGTAATGGATAGAGAACAAGTGATAAACCAATTCAACGTAAACCACATCACTAATGACAAATAACAAAAGTCATTGATTGCAATAACATTTTATTTTTCTATGCAAGAAAAACATATGAACACTAACAATAGTTCATAATTAAAAAGACACCAGTCACACATTTCTTTGTGAAATGAAAACAAAAAGAAAAGGGCAAATAACTTTGAACAACTAAAATATAAAAAACAAACAACTAAAACAACTAGGAATGAATTCACTAAAAACAAGCTACGAATAAGAAACATAATAAGGAAAAAGACAAGTATAGAAATAATTTAACTTACTGACCAGAGCCTTTATCAATAAATAAAATGACAAAAGAGTGGAACACACAACACCACTTCCTAAATGAAGAGTCATGCAAAAAAAAAGACATCTGAAAAGTAGGAAGAGCTGTTGCATAACAAAACAAAAACTGTCAAAAAATTAAAATAGTAGTAATAATAATAACAAGTAAAACAGAAGTCATGATATTTAGATATTTAGGTATGCTGGACAGTAACACTTCTAAGCTCAAAATACCTTAACTATAATAAGTGAAGTGAATGTTTAACCCCTGTCAAGTTTCCTAGTTATAGTTTGTATTTAGTGATTCATGTCATGATTTCAGCTCAACTGAAGCCACCCACACTCTCAACTAAAAATAAAACTGATTCCAACAAATGTATCAAACAAAGCCCAACAGTTATACATAGTTGGAGCAGAAGCTGCATGCTTTCTATCTAAGGAAAATTAGAATCAACATGCTTGTAATCAGAGTTAAAGGTCACATAAATAGCAATGTTGGGAACATGGATCAAGTTGGAGAAAACTTAAACATGGATTATGATTCAGACAATAAGTTGTAAATGGACTGTTGACACATTCACTACACATATAAAATCTTATTTAAAAAAAAGAAGGAAAAACTATGTTTCCAGATCAACATACGGTATATGAATTTTTTGTTTAAAATCTTGGGTTATACAGAATAACTTTACCCGTTTGCATACTTAAAAAGCAATTTGACTATTTCAAGGAACTATTTCTCTGTTGTTTTTATATTTGAAATTATATTTGATGGTTACAATGTTACAACTATGGCCATCTGAAACAAAATTTAACAAAGTCAAAACAATACTTCTATGTGAGTATTTGGAATGAACTATGACAATGAAAATAATATTAATGTGTACATTTCACATAAAATCTGACAAAACATGTCAAATGTAATTATAACAAATACATCAGCTTGACTATTTGAAATTAAATTTCACTTCAACAAGATACTTCATCCGAACCTGTCTGACATCGTAGACGATGTACTCGTTGTAGTTCAAGGTGAAGCCACCAGGATTATTTGTCCTTGTGTCTTTGGGTTTTCCCACTGGCACGACCACTCCATCAAGTCTGTGAACAGAAATGAAATAACTTTGTCAGGAATTCATCTTCTTCTTCTGCCCTTAGACAGCAGCATTTTACAAAATGAGGAATATCTTATGCAAACCTTTCTTTGTCGATTTGAGACAAGAAAGATAATTATTAAAAGTTATATAAATTCTATCTTTATATACGGAAGTGAATCATGGACAGTAGGTAGATTAGAGAAAATTTATTTGGAAGCTGCAGAAATGTGGTTTTATAGACAAAGGATGAGAATACCCTGGATAGATGAAAAGAGTAATGAAGATGTCTTGAAAGAAACTGACTCTCAAAGAAAACTGACTGTCCACATGAGAAAGATGAGAAAGAGACAATCTACATTCCTTGGTCATGTGATGAGATGGATAAAACTGGAGTACATCGTGACAGTAGGAAAGCTGGAGGGAAGGAGAGGCAGATGGAGACCACCAGAGAAAAGATGCTGGACAGTTTGACATCATGGCATCTGTGTCAGAGTTGATTGAAAGAACACGAGACAGAAGGTTGTGGACAGACATGACTACCAATGCCACACGGCATGCACTTGAAGAAGCAAAAAGTGTCTTCTCTGATCTTCTCCTCATTTACCCACGTCTTCTGCAAACCTAGTCAATATCTGGGCTGTTATCTCCCATTATTTCAGTTAGCTCAGGGTGAAGATATTTCTGTGTCATTCAAAATAAAACATCCGACAACAATTGCTCACACAAGCCCAACAGGACATGGGAGTCAGCCTTGACAGACTACATAATGAGTAGCATTAGCTGCTGGGCCATATGACACCACTATATCTACTATGGATTCATCATCATCATCATCATGCCCCATGCTAAAAAGCTTAGGAAGTCATGATCTTCCACCTCACACGGTCACCAAAATCACACATTAGGTCAGAACTCTTGACCCTACCCTTGCTCTCTTTCATCGGTTTCTTCTCTTGCTAGTTGCCACAAAGTTTTCAAGTTTCTTCCTTCTCTTGCTAGTTGCCACAAAGTTTTCAAGTTTGTTCCTTCTCTTGCAAGTTGTCACCAAGTATTCCAGTTTGTTTCTTCTCTTGCTACTTACTAAGTGTTTCAGTTTGTTCCTTCTCTTGCTAGTTGCCACCAAGTTTTCAAGTTTCTTCCTTCTCCTGCTAGTTGCCACCAAGTTTTCAAGTTTCTTCTCCTGCTAGTTGCCACCAAGTTTTCAAGTTTCTTCCTTCTCCTGCTAGTTGCCACCAAGTTTTCAAGTTTCTTCCTTCTCTTGCTAGTTGCCACAAAGTTTTCAAGTTTCTTCCTTCTCTTGCTAGTTGCCACCAAGTTTTCAAGTTTGTTTCATCTCCTGCTAGTTGCCACAAAGTTTTTAAGTTTGCTTCATCTCCTGCTAGTTGTCACCAAGTTTTCCAGTTTAGTTCTGTTCTTGCCAGTTGTCACCAAGTTTTCACGTTTTTTCCTTCTCTTGCCAGTTTTCCAGTTTGTTCCTTCTTATAGCATGGCCACAGACATTTTCTGCTCTCTAATTTCTCTAACCAGTTTTCAGATTTCATCTGTTTTGTTGAGACTGTCTCATTTGTTTTTCTTTCTTCACATGACATACTGTTGATCACAATGCAAGGAAACACTTCAGCCTAAATATCTGTCAACAAACCATGGACCCAGATACAAGGAAACTATCACAAAACAGAAGTGTCCTAACCCCTAAACGAAAAATCAGATTTAAAAAAAAGGTTTTAGTTTTAAACATTTCATTATGGAAACTACATCCTTAAGCAAGGAAGACACATCTTTTTAAAAAATCATTATGATCAGGTGCCTTGCCGACTGGCGTGGGCGATCATGCCTCTCCATAATCTGCAATCTCCTGCAGCATGTATCAGTTCGTGTGTCGACACACCTCCATGCCATGCAACAAGACTGTCAAGCATCTTCTCTCGTTGTCTACCTCTATCTCTCCTTCCACATATCTTTCCAGTGGTCACAACATGTTCTATTTTCCCTCTTCTCATAACATGGGCGAAAAATGATGACGGTCTCCTTCTGATGTCTGTGATAAGTTGTCTTCGGGCTCCCGCCTCTTTCAAAACCTCTTGGTTGCTCTTTTTGGCTGTCCAAGGTATTCTAAGCATTCTTCTGTAAAACCACATCTCTGAGGCCTCTAAGAATTGTTTGGCCTGCCTACCGATTGTCCAGGATTCACATACATATGTTAAAACTGGATGTATGTAGCATGGTTTAATTTTGTTTCTTATTCTTCTCATAATTATTCTCAGTAAAATCTTAGTCATGTGACTCATAAGACTTATTGTGCGATGGTTTTCACAATTTAAAGTGCCTGGCTTCTTCGGCAGAGTTATAAATATGGATTTTAAAAGGTCATTTGGAATATACCCACTATTATAAATATCATTTAAAAGTTTAGTTATTATTTCAATTCCAAAATTTCCCAGTGCTTCGATTTCTTCCAGTGAGATGTTGTCTGGCCCGGGTGCTTTTCCTTTCTTCAAATGATGTATTGCATCCTCAACTTCTGTAGTCATTACTGGTGGACCATCATTGTTGGTCTGCAGTTCTACGTCTGGTCTATTATCATCATACAATTTCCCTATATACTCTGTCCATCTGTTAATTATATTACTATGTCCCATTAATAAGTCACCATCTTTTGATTTCAAACATCCAGTGCTGTTACGTGTCATCTTTCCTGTTAAAATGTTTATCTGTTCATACATGGAATGTGAGTCTTTCCTGTTGTTTTCCCCAATCTCTGTACACATTTGATTCAGCCAGGCTTCTTTAGCCACTTTGCATTTGTTCACTATTTCTTTTTGTATTCTAGAGTATTCTTCTTTATCATTCTTCTTCTCCCTTCTTTCATCCATCAACTGCAGAATTTCTGTTGACATCCATTTCTTTTTTGTAACTCTATGGGTTGGTGGGATTGTCTCTTTAGATGTCTGCTGAATTGACACACGCAACATATCCCACTGTTCATCAATAGTCTGTATAATTTCCATTGCATTATACCGGTTTTGTACAGTGACATTGTACTGTTCCTTAATTTCTTTATCCGTTCTAAGAATTCCTAAATTTAACTTGATGTTCTGTGGTGTTTTTCTAAAAAAAAAAGGGGCAATCAAAATGTCTTCAAATATAACAGTTAACATTCTCAGTCTCAAACAAATCCGAGCCCCTCAGGTGCCATTACTCATGCTACCACTATAATCGCCTCTATAGTTAGATGCCATACTTACAGTTTCACATTTTCTGCAGGGTCTGGTGCTATCATGCCCACGCCCCGGACACTGTGTTTGCCTTTAGGAAGCTTGTCTGCATTGTAATCAGCTGCCAGTTTGTCCTCTATGTTTCCCAAAGACACCTGAATCAGTTTCAAAGAAATAATAGTAAAAATTTTAAAAATAAATAGTGTTTTGTCTATTGCCACACTTATTGTTTATTTCCTGTATTGGCAAAGTAGTTTCAAAAATAAGTGTTTGGTAGATTCCATCATCGTGGTCATCTTCTGGCCTGTATTCCTCAATGGAGCAAAAACCCTCAACCATCTCACGCCAGGCCATCCTCATCTTATTTAACCTCCCTCTCAAGTTCCCTTCCTTCATGTGTTTGTATGTGCGGGTCTGCCTTGATTTTCTGGTCTTACTGGTTCCAGTGTAAGACATTTTCGTTACACTGTTCTCAAAAGATAGAGGCAAGGAGAGGCAGAGGGAGACCAAGAAAAAAGATACTGGACACTCTGACATCATGGCAAGAAGGATCATCTGTATCAGAGTTGACTGAAAATACACAAGATTGAAGGTAGTGGATGGACATGACTACCAAGGCCACGGACTTTAAGAAGAAGAAAACGTTCTCAAGTTTTCTCAACTCTCAACGTGTCCTATCAAACACCAGCAACCCCCCCCCCCCCCCCCCCCCATTATACATATGTATCATTCACTCAGTACAAGCACTTATTTTCTCTCAAGTGTATATCCTGTATTTAAAGATGTGTGCAAGCAGTACATGAATGATATGTGTATTGAGGTAGATTCTTGGAAACAAAATGTCATGAACCGTGTTGTGTGGAGTGGGCTAATCAGGAAGGGAATGAGAATAAAGGAAAAACAATTTAGTGCAGAAGAGGATGAGCATTAGAGAAGAAGTACAGTAACTGCTATCTTTACATGTGTATAGGCTAGAAGAAGTACAGTAACTGCTATCTTTACATGTGTATAGGCTAGAAGAAGTACAGTAACTACTATCTTTACATGTGTTTGGGTTGGAGAAGTACAGTAACTGCTATCTTTACATGTGTATAGGCTAGAAGAAGTACAGTAACTGCTATCTTTACATGTGTATAGGCCAGAAGAAGTACAGTAACTGCTATCTTTACATGTGTATAGGCTAGAAGAAGTACAGTAACTGCTATCTTTACATGTGTATAGGCTAGAAGAAGTACAGTAACTACTATCTTTTCATGTGTTTGGGTTGGAGAAGTACAGTAACTGCTATCTTTACATGTGTATAGGCTAGAAGAAGTACAGTAACTGCTATCTTTACATGTGTATAGGCTAGAAGAAGTACAGTAACTGCTATCTTTACATGTGTATAGGCCAGAAGAAGTACAGTAACTGCTATCTTTACATGTGTATAGGCTAGAAGAAGTACAGTAACTGCTATCTTTACATGTGTATAGGCTAGAAGAAGTACAGTAACTGCTATCTTTACATGTGTATAGGCTAGAAGAAGTACAGTAACTGCTATCTTTACATGTGTATAGGCCACATGTGTGTATCAAGCTGCTCAGTTTCTGAGATGATAATTTTAGGAAAAATAATTTGCTTAGAAACAGTAGCACCTGTAAGCAGTGAAAGATGAGCCTTGTGAAAAATGAAGGAGACGTTATAGCAAGAGAAGTGCGATATGGTTGTCATACCAGGAGGGACGCCTGGCATGTTACAGCCACTCAAGATTTCAATTAAAAGATCTATTGAGGATGATCCACAGCATTTCTATCACGAGATTGGAGATGCAGTTTTGACGGAAGTGACTCCAACCAGGCACCTAAAGAAACCTCATTATCTCAATTATGTGAGTGGATCGTGGCTGCATGGAAACTCACACCAGCTCATGATGCTGTGGCAGTTAGTTAGTTAGTTAGTTGGTCGTTACAATTTCAGCATCACAGTAAACGAGCTTGGCCCATAATTGCTCAACTGCCTATGCCAGTGATTCCAGTCACAAACTGAGCCAGATTTTCTGAATACTTCAAGTGAATGCCGTAGCCATACAAAGTGCCCTCAGTCAGCTAAACACAGACTATTTGATCTAGCAAACCATAAGGTGCATGCCTCCTCAAACACACTGCGAGTCCAGGCGTTATCGCTGAAAATCAACTTCATTCGATGAATAGCTGGGCAATGAGTAGATTAAACTATTCCAGACCATTCTCTACATGTCCTCGGCCAAGTTGCAGCCATGGCAGCAAATAAATAGCAGCTATAGCACACACCTTTTTTGGGAACACAATTAACAAAAATACATCACCCATAATTGTTATAATGTACGAATCTGGAACTCAGTCAATAACCGATAATCACAGCTCATAGTGCTGCCAGGAGCACTAAACTCAGTAGCTCCGGCTGCAAACCAGACTTCTACAATCTTGCAACATCGAAACTGGAGGAGAAACGGCGTTGAGAACGGTCAACATAAGCCAAGTTCTCAACCGTCATTCATTCCCTATCAATGTCAGAACCAGAAGTGGCAGTAGTAACAGTGATGTGTGTTGATGATGATTTCTGCTGTTTAGGTAATGCCTGATGACCTTAACTGCAACTCTGGTACCACTGTTTAAAGAAATGATAACTTGTCTTTTTCTCAGTCAAATCAGCATAGAAATTGAGGAAACCAGGATAAACAATGAGGAAACCAGGGCAGACATTGAGGAAACCAGGGCAGACATTGAGGAAACTAGAGCAGACATAGAGGAAACTAGGGCAGACATTGAGAAAACCAGGGCAGACATTGAGGATTGCACTGTGAAACAATTTCAATCACCTCTAAGCTATACTTATTTATTTAAATCAAATGCTGACAATAGTGACGACTTTACTGTTAATGCTAGGGCAAGAAAAAAATAGGGAAACAAATAGACAGTCATTATAACAAGATAACTCGACTTATGAAGAGAAGAAGATTAATATTACATGCTTACATCACACAACAGCAGCAGTCCTGTGTTTTTGGTTTTTGAAGCAAAACAATAATTGGCACTCTTGCTGGACATATCAGCAAAATACACTCCTTTCCCAAACTGTGAAGAGAAAATGACAGAAATCACACACAATGTAACAGTGCCATAAACTGGAAAATATGCCATAAAAACACAATCACATTAAATTTGATAACTGATCCTCTCACAGAAAATAAAGTGCATATGGCGCTTTTTAAGTAGAAGACATGAAGCGGTTAGTTCGATATTAGTCTTCCCATTTACACACTCTTACACACTAGCACACTTCTGATTCATTGACCTTCAGCGTAGCTCTCTTCTCATTGGTCGACCTTGAACCACATGAACTTGCCACAAAGTGACGGGGTGTTCAGCAATGCCGTTGATATCGCATGTTCTATATTTCAGCATGGCAGCGCTTTTAACACTCCAAAAACATGGACACACTGGGATGATGCACTTAGTTCAATGTACTTTTTTGGTTCTTCGAAAATGACTGGGCTCAGTGCACTTATAAAAATTTCAGGAGGGTTTTAAGGTTCCAGCACCTAGGTAACTGGCACTCACTGACCAATGACACAAACTGGACACTCACTAACCTTAAACACACGATCAGCATTCACCTATTGGTCAAACATGCAACTAGCACCTGTTTACCTCACAGACAATCACTAGCCACCAAATGAACACTATACTATCAGTCTTCTTCTTCTTCTGAATGCATTTAAAGAAGTGGATGGCACTGTGTGCTGTGATTTACAGCTAGGCTGTGATATCTGTGCTTACACATCCCATTTCAGCACAATCTACATTAGACTGCCTTCTACATGTTTCTAAGGAACATTGGACAGCAGACACCAGCTTTCATGAATGACTCCTTGCATCAATGCTGGGCGGCAATTTTTTTGGGAAACTGTTAGTGTTAGTACATGTGGAAGGTGCCTCATGCATTTACTTTACATGTGTGAGCTTCAAAATTGTGCTAGGACTGATATCTAATATGTTGTTCACTAGTTTTTCAATAGGACAGTGAAGGGCATTTTGTGTGATTTCCACTGGCACAAGAACACAGAAGTTATGGAATGCACCACCAGTGGTAAAGCTGGAACCTTGACTCATAACAGCGGGTCTGTCTTCCCCATCCCGTCATCTCAAATAGGATCACAGAACCCACATAAGGAAAACACTTTAACTCAACAGCCATCTACTTTTCTATCACCACCACTAGCTGACTCATCCATGCTATAGATCAGGTTTCTAATTTAGAGAAGGGGGAAAAGGGGGGGGGGGGGGTGCATGGAAGTTTCAAGGGAAGGGTTAATCAATTTTGAATTTGACTGCATTTGTGCTTGTAATAATCTGTTAAAGTAACATTTTTTCACCCAATTTAATTATAAATCAGAGATTTGTTAGAAATATTTCGGAGGGGCTGTTGGAGCCATGCCCTATCCTCAAGGGAGGCGCAACCAGGAAAAGGTTGAACAACACTGCTACATTGAGGCGCAACCAGGAAAAGGTTGAACAACACTGCTACACTGAGGCGCAACCTGGAAAAGGTTGAACAACACTGCTACACTGAGGCGCAACCTGGAAAAGGTTGAACAACATTGCTACAGATCACCCACTTACCATATAACCAGTGACAGGTGCTTCAGGGGGAGCAATTCTTAACCCCTGACCTAGAATACCCGCCCAGTTGGTCAGCCTTGAGCCGTGCCACAACAACATCCTGTCAGGAGAAGATAACACTAGTTACACATTATGTTTTAAAAGTTTGTTGTGTATGTAAAGGATTTTGTTTTAAAAGTTTGTTGCGTATGTAAAGAATTTTGTTTTAAAAGTTTGTTGCGTATGTAAAGGATTTTCTTTTAAAAGTTTGTTGCGTATTTAAAGGATTTTGTTTTAAAAGTTTGTTGCGTATGTAAAGGATTTTGTTTAAAAAGTTTGTTGCGTATGTAATGGATTTTGTTTTGAAAGTTTGTTGTGTATGTAAAGGATTTTGTTTTAAAAGTTTGTTGCGTATGTAAAGGATTTTGTTTTAAAAGTTTGTTGCGTATGTAAAGGATTTTGTTTTAAATGTTTGTTGCGTATGTAAAGGATTTTGTTTTAAAAGTTTGTTGCGCATGTAAAGGATTTTGTTTTAAAAGTTTGTTGCGTATCCTTCAAAAGATGTTGCAGAACCAATTGTGGCATTTTGGTCTGTTGTGTTTTTCTAGGCAAATTTCACATTCAGTAGTTTGCCATAGCCTCTGAACGGTCAGCTCTCTGTACCTCTGCTAAACCAACAGAAGACATTCTGGTGACAATACGCCCATAGCTGGGATCGAACCCAGCACCCTGGCATTAAGAAGAGTGTTCACAATGCCTAAGCCACAGGCGATTATCCATAGCCTTTCCTAAATAAAACTGACTGATGTGTTGTGACCAGTGTTTTTATCTTATGCTTGTATCATTTATTCACTGTTTTTGTTGTGCCCATTTATATGTCAGACAGGACTTAAGACTATTTCTCCATTTCATTCTATTTACTTATTCTATTTCTCCATTCTGTTCTATCCTGTGAGATCACCTTGATATAGTTATCCAATGGCGCTTTGGGGTAGGGATGGGAAAAGGGGGGGGGGGTGTTTTTCAGAGAAAAGGAAACAGTTAGTAATGTTCTTTTTAGTAACTATTCGTGACTGTTGTTTTTTTTTTAAGGGGTAAAGCTTCAGCACATAACTTTGCATTTCTTGTAACAGTACATTTACAAACTTGCTGTGTCTACATAGTGGCACTATCTGACTGAGTATATGCTCATATATTTACCACTTCATATAATGCCATTAAGAAACAGAATATTCAATCTAACACAAATATATTTTCTGCTGCACAATTTTCATAGCACCAGTTCTGACATTTAGACAAGAGACAAATTGAGTTGTTTTTGTTTCCAAGTTTAACAAGTGTGAAATGAACTCTAGAAAACTACAGATAACAGAATGTAACTGTTAAAGTAATTAGAAATATTACAATTCCTACAAAAGGCTCAAAACTGTGTAACTCTTGATTAAATTTTTAAGTGTTCTGTGATTAATCCATACAAATTACTATCTACTTGGTCACTAGTGGGAGCTGATATGGTGTAGTGGCTAGGCACTAACTTGGGGATTTCAAGATCATGGGTTCAAATCCAAACAGAGCCAAACTTTATAAAAAAAATCACATTGGCTCCCAGGTTGACCCAGCCTTAAATGGGTTCCAGGTAAGGTCCTGGGAAATAAAGGTGGCCGGCAAGATGTTGACCACATCACCTACTAAGTGATGGTTGGTCTAGCACTATTGCCCAATACACCTGAAGGTGTGGAAAATAGTCCTATACATTCCTTTTGAACCCAAGTGATGTGTATTGCATGACTGGTCACAGTTGTAAGTATAAATTAAATGTTAAAGATATAAGGTGGAGCATTTTTTTCATTCTCAAGAATTAACCAATGCATTGTATCTCAACGTAAATGTACTTACAATTACTGAAGGTATGTGTACTAACCTATGAAACAATGATTTGGTTCGACCTTAGTCTCCCCAAACAAAGCAGGTCAGTTTTCATTAACAACTTTGTTGGGCTGGTCTACTTTCCTGGAGGTTATGGGTGTGTTCTGTTCTCTTGTTTGGTTTCCTTGATGTCTTGCAATAACGTTTTCATCCCGAGAAAGAGAATGCCTGTTACGTAGGTTTCAGCACTCTCTATGTGGGGGGGGGGGGGGGGGGGGGTATTAGACCCAGTGTGTCCATGTTTTTGGAGTGTTAAAAGGGCCGCTGTGTTGAAATAAAGTACACGTGATACCAGCGGTATTGCGGAAATCTCCCGTCACTTTGTGGCAAGGTAGCGTGGCTCAAGGTTGACAAATCAGAAGTGAGCTAGGCTGAAGGTCAACCAATCAGAAGTGAGCTAGTGTCTAAGAGTTAGTAAATGAAGAGACAAACGGCAAACTAACCGAAACAATGATATCAGAAAAGGAAGTCGCGACAGATCAAATGCTTTGGGCATATGTCAAAACTACCAGCAGACGGTGCACAACTTATGGATCGTATTTTCCTCAAACCCTTTTGATGCAAAACTAGTTACAAACCTGTTTCCATAATCTTTGAAATGTTCAGCTTCTCCTTCTTTACTGCAAGCAAACACATCTACAAGCTCCATCTTGTACTGGTTGTGTGTACTGGCATGGGTGTGTTGTAAGTACTTTTCAATAAGCTGAAGAAAATTGACAACAGTCAGGTGTCATTATCTATTGACAGACTGAAATATGATAGGATGTAGACAGACTGACAATAATCAGGTATGATTATCTACTGACACACTGAAACATGATGAGCTAAAGACAAGACTGACAGCAGTCAGATGTGATCATATGTTGACAGACTAAACTATGATAAGCTGAAGACAGATTGACAACAGTCAGATGTGATCATCTATTGACAGACTGAAACATGATAAACTGACAGTTATAGACCAAAACATGACCAGCTAAAGAAAGACTGACAAACCTGGTTAAGATCCGGGTTATCTCCAAGGTACTGAAGGCATGTCGACACATGCTCAGATTTCCCCTTCTACTTACACATTAGCACTCTACGATTAATAGTGCCAGGCCTATGGCAGCCTACAACACTTCTCATAGTCTGGTGTGCCTCTCGTGTCTGACTGTTCCAATCTTCAGTCCAAATTCTCGCATTCAAAGTGGCCGTGTGGATGTCCTGCTCCCAACCTCCTCTGATCATCCAATATATCTAATGGCATTAACAATATTGGGGTGATTAATAGGATGGCTGTCAGCAAACTAGGGCTCGATGCTAGCGGCAGCCAAGACACTTAATGCTGACAAGCCCTTGTGAGGTTTTGCTGTTACATGGTCAACGTAAATGACATGGATCGTTTTGTGTGTAGGGGGCACAGGAAATGAGAATTAAGGAAGAAAATTACTGCAGAAAAGATTGAGAGCTGAGTGGCTGAGAAGAAACGGACTAAACACAAAAGTTGACAATGGTCCTGAAATCCCATGCTATAATTGTGAAGACTTTTCTTGACACGGGCGGGTCTTACTAGTCATTGTCACTCGCCATTGCCACAGGCTGTGAGCCCATGCCTCCTCACAGTGCAATATAACAGTATAGTCTGGAAAGTTAGAAAAAGGTGCCAATCAATCGGTAAACTTGTTCTTTGAAGAAGGGACTGTGATCAAACCTCACTCCCAGATACGTGATCGAGTGAGTTTTTATCTGATATGCCCACTATAACCAGGTAGCATGTAGTATACGTCTGTACTAAATCTCCTCATAGGGTACAGGCCCTCAACCAACAGAGACCAAGTTCTATTCATGAGTTTGTTCATATTCATTGTCCAGGTTGGTGGACATTTGGGTACAACCTGGAGCAGCCAGACATGAACATTTCACCATGTCGTTTGTGAGAAACTACTAAGGAGGAATTCAGCCCCAATGGATCTGTTTAATGTGTAGGTGAAATAATAATAAATAGATCCAAACATGGTATGCCAGGAATATCAGTCACAGGGCATTTGTTATCTACCTGTGATAGGCTGAGGAATTAATTTTGATCACTGAAAATTAAACACAACTGCAACAAATTATGGACATAATTGTAACAGAAAGTCAAAGCAAGGATCTAAGTTTGAACAGCAGAATAAAACAAGTAATGATAGTTACCAAGAAAACAGACAAAGAAAATGCAACATCAAAGTAAATGGGACAAACCTCAAGCAAGTTGATAGGTTTAAGAACCTGGGTGTCCTGACAACATCAGATAGAAGATGTAATGTTAAATGTAGAATATCTCAAGCAAAGGCAGCATTTATAAAATGAAGAACAGTCTATGCAATCTTCCTTTGTCAATTGTGATGAGAAAGAAAATTCTTAAAATCTATATAAATCCTATCCTGAAATACAGAAGTGAATCATGGACAGCTAGCTGATCAATCAGGGAAAAATCATTGGGAGATATATGCTTTAACAGATGAATGATGAGAATACCCTGGACAGATAAACAAAGAAATGAAGATGTCTCAAAAGAAACTGACTCCTGAAGAGAACTGAATGCTCACATCAGGAGGACACAGTCTACATTTCTTGGTCATATCAGGATTAAACAATAACTGAATTACATTGAGTCTGTAATGAGTGGGAAATCCCATGATGTCAGAAGGGGGTTCTAAGAGGACAGGTCAAGAGATCAAAGACCAGTTACATAATGATTAACCAGAAGGGAAGACTGGTTCATGGGAAAACGTGTGTGAATGGGTATCAGGACATTTATGGGCGAGACACGGATTGTGTTTGAAATCTTGTGAGGAAAAGTGAATAAGCTGATGTACGAGAAAGGCACATGTATTTTGTGAGAGACAGCAGGAGAAAGTGGACTGTCTGGATAAATCAAATGCCTGTGTGAATATGTACAGGTGACATCGTGAACAAGTACAAGAGAGGGTGACAGGACTGAGAAGGCTGCTGATTGTCGTAGCTGAATGAGAAGGCATGTTGTCATCCAGGGACGACGAATGAGAGCGAAGGGTGTTTTCAACCTGACTCACAGTAATGTTATATAACTATTAAATTTAGTCTCTGTGGTTAGAAAGCTGAATCAACTGAGGAACCACCACAGAGACTAGTTAACGACAACAGACAGAGCCAACACTACAAATGGAACAACAATACAAATTCATGTTTTGAACGGTTCTTCTGCCATGTGTGTCTCTTCATGACTAACTTAACTCACTGGGACAGTTGGGGTCCCAGGCTACTGAAATCTTTACATTTGATTGGAGGAAAGTCATTGCAGTGGTGGTGTGAAAGCTGGAAGCGAAAAGAGGGCATCACACAAGTGATAAACACCCGGTGACACAAAGTGCCACCATGCGAATGAGGAACACCCATGGAGAGATCCCAGAAACCCCTTTCGGGCGTTAGGCCACATCTATGGCTAGGCCATATCTATAAAAAAAAAAGAGTAAAGGACCCTTTTCCATGCCTCAAGTCGTAAAGGGCATATAGGGCTAGACCTATATTTTTTTAGACCAATCGGCACAAGATGGGTGATGTGGTCAGTATCACACCGAGGCCATATCTATGCCCCGACTATATTCAGGGCCCCCGGCAGAAGCCAGGGTGGGGCTTCAAAAAACAAAACAATTGCATCCCACATGGGAACGACTTTATACAAAAAAGAGGCAGAGGGAGTCTGAGAGAGAAGATGCTGGACAGTTTGACATCATGGCATGAAAGACCATCTGTGTTTACTGAATGTGCACAAGACAGAAGGCTGTGGATAGACATGACTTCCAATGCCACGACAGAAGGCTGTGGATAGACATGACTTCCAATGCCACGACAGAAGGCTGTGGATAGACATGACTTCCAATGCCCCACGCCAGTAAGATGGTGAAGATTGCAGTAGACAGGAAGCTGTGGATAGACATGACTTCCAATGCCACGACAGGAAGGCTGTGGCTTCCAATGCCACGACAGAAGGCTGTGGATAGACATGACTTCCAATGCCACACATGGCACGGAAGACACTCTGTGTTTACAGAATGTACACAAGACAGAAGGCTGTGGATAGACATGACTTCTAATGCCACACATGGCACGGAAGACACTCTGTGTTTACTGAATGTACACAAGACAGAAGGCTGTGGATAGACATGACTTCTAATGCCACACATGGCACGGAAGACACTCTGTGTTTACTGAATGTACACAAGACAGAAGGCTGTGGATAGACATGACTTCCAATGCCACACATGGCACGGAAGACACTCTGTGTTTACTGAATGTACACAAGACAGAAGGCTGTGGATAGACATGACTTCTAATGCCACACATGGCACGGAAGACACTCTGTGTTTACTGAATGTGCACAAGACAGAAGGCTGTGGATAGACATGACTTCCAATGCCACGACAGAAGGCTGTGGATAGACATGACTTCCAATGCCACGACAGAAGGCTGTGGATAGACATGACTTCCAATGCCACGACAGAAGGCTGTGGATAGACATGACTTCCAATGCCATGACAGAAGGCTGTGGATAGACATGACTTCCAATGCCACGACAGAAGGCTGTGGATAGACATGACTTCCAATGCCACGACAGAAGGCTGTGGATAGACATGACTTCCAATGCCACACATGGCATGGAAGACACTCTGTGTTTACTGAATGTACACAAGACAGAAGGCTGTGGATAGACATGACTTCTAATGCCACACATGGCACGGAAGACACTCTGTGTTTACTGAATGTACACAAGACAGAAGGCTGTGGATAGACATGACTTCTAATGCCAACGGACACGAGGGCTAGGGATAGGCTGTGGATAGACATGACTTCTTCAATGCCCGACAGAAGGCTGTGGATAGACATGACTTCCAATGCCACGACAGAAGGCTGTGGATAGACATGACTTCCAATGCCACGACAGAAGGCTGTGGATAGACATGACTTCCAATGCCACGACAGAAGGCTGTGGATAGACATGACTTCCAATGCCACACATGGCACGGAAGACACTCTGTGTTTACTGAATGTACACAAGACAGAAGGCTGTGGATAGACATGACTTCTAATGCCACACATGGCACGGAAGACACTCTGTGTTTACTGAATGTACACAAGACAGAAGGCTGTGGATAGACATGACTTCTAATGCCACGACAGTAGGCTGTGGATAGACATGACTTCCAATGCCACGACAGAAGGCTGTGGATAGACATGACTTCCAATGCCACGACAGAAGGCTGTGGATAGACATGACTTCTAATGCCACACATGGCATGAACTTTAGGAAGAAAGAGATGGATCTATCCAGATAGTCCTCACTAATCACTAATTCGGGGAGTCGCTGTGGCGTAGCGGCTAGACGCTCGTGTGCGGATTGGAAGTTTGGTGGTTTGCTCCCTGGCGGAGCCACACTTTTTTCAAAAATGACCTTGACTCCCTGGTCGACCCCGCCTTGAGTGGGTACCGAGTGCAGTCCCGGCAAGTAAAGGTGGCCGGCGTGATGCTGACCACATCACCCATCTTGTGCCGATTGGTCTATACAAAATATAGGTCTAGCCCTATATGCCTAAAGCTGTGGAAAAAGGACCTTTAATTTTTTATTCTACTCTTCTAATCACTAAATCTGTTTCATGAGACTTTATCATGACTGGTTGGATTTTGCAGCTCAGGATTTTACAGGGCTGAGGTAGTCAGTCTCATAAAAACCTTTTTGCCGTTACATTTCTTTTCTTCCCTTATAGAGCCCAATAACATGCAGCTGATGTATGTTAAGATGTAACAAACAGATAATATAAATTTACTTTTTTTTCTTCAATTCCTCTTTTACCGCTTCAGGTTCTGAGGGAGATATAATGTTTTGCTTCTTGTTTTTTTAGCCACCTCGACCACAGACCCACGGTGCTGTTGTAGAGTTACTCTGACATTATCTTTCCATCTTGTAAAATAAAAAAAATTTTAATTAAACTCTTTATTCACCTTAAACTCATCAGAGTTGTGATCAAGGGGCTCCAGGCTGCAGTGCAGCTGATGGTAGTGTCTGTCTACAGGGTTCTCTGACATGTCGCCTCCCCTCAGCATCTTGATAGCAATCTCTATGTCTTCTAGTGCCTGAGAACACGAGTGAGTTATGTTAGCTGTCAGTCAATTACAGACAAAAGGTGGAGACAGGTATGCTCCATGCAGAGTGGCCAACATCACATCAGAGGTCTTAGGAAGCGTCCTTTGAATATTTTATCCAGGTCATTTTGCTGTGTTGGGGAATAAACAGAAAGATAGACTGGCTGGTTCTGCACCACCTGGTGGTGACCTGAGACATGACAACTAGATGTTGAAGGGTCCTTTCAGAGTGAATAGTCCATTAGCACAAATAGATCATTAAGATCTGAGGAGAATGGCGCTGCAAGGAGTGACCAGGGAATGTGGTCGACGCTCAACACTCAAGGGAGAGAACTCAAGAGAAAGATGAGAGAACTCAAGGGAAAGATGAGAGAACTCAAGGGAAAGATGAGAGAACTCAAGGGAAAGATGAGAGAACTCAAGAGAAAGATGAGAGAACTCAAGGGAAAGATGAGAGAACGCAAGGGAAAGATGAGAGAACTCAAGGGAAAGATGAGAGAACTCAAGGGAAAGATGAGAGAACTCAAGAGAAATATGAGAGAACTCAAGGGAAAGATGAGAGAACTCAAGGGAAAGATGAGAGAACTCAAGGGAAAGATGAGAGAACTCAAGGGAAAGATGAGAGAACTCAAGGGAAAGATGAGAGAACTTAAGGAAAGATGATGAGACTCAAGGAAAGATGAGAGAACTCAAGGGAAAGATGAGAGAACTCAAAGATGAGAGAAAAAAAGATGAGAGAACTCAAGGAAAGATAAGAGAACTCAAGGAAAGATGAGAGAACTCAAGGGAAAGATGAGAGAACTCAAGGGAAATATCGAGAGAACTCAAGGGAAAGATGAGAGAACTCAAGTAAAGATGAGAGAACTCAAGGAAAGATGAGAGAACTCAAGGGAAAGATGAGAGAACTCAAGGGAAAGATGAGAGAAACTTAAGTGAAAGAATGAGATAACTCAAGTGAAAGATTAAGATCTCAAGGGAAGATGTGAGAACTTAGAGCTCAATGGAAAGATGAGAAGAACTCAAGTGAAAGATGAGAGAAGGGAAAAAGATGAGAGAACTCAAGGAAAGATGGAGAGAACCTCGGGAAAGATGAGAGAACTCAAGGGAAAGATGAGAGAACTCAAGGGAAAGATGAGAAGAACTCAAGGGAAAGATGAGAGAAACTCAAGGGAAAGATGAGAGAACTCAAGGGAAAGATGATAGAACCTCAGGGAAAGATGAGAGAACTCAAGGGAAAGATGAGAGAAACTCAAGGGAAAGATGAGAGAAACTCAATGGAAAGATTGAGAGAACTCAAGGGAAGAGATAAGAGAAAAAAACTCAGAGAAAGATTGAGAGAACTCAAGGGAAAGATGAGAGAACTCAAGGGAAAGATGAGAGAACTCATGGAAAGATGAGAGAACTTAAGGAAAGATTGAGAGAACTCAAGGAAAGATGAGAGAACTCAATGAGAAAGATGAGAGAACTCAAGGGAAAGATGAGAGAACTCAAGGGAAAGATTGAGAGAACTCAAGGAAAGATGAGAGAACTCAAGGGAAAGATGAGAGAACTCAAGAGAAAGATGAGAAAGAGACTCAAGAGGAAGATGAGAGTACTCAAGGAAAAGAATGAGAGAACTGCAAGAGAAAGATGAGAGAACTCAAGGGAAAGAATGAGAGAACTCAAGGGAAAGATGAGAGAACTCAAGGGAAAGATGAGAGAACTCAAGGGAGATGGAGAGAACTCAGGAAAGATGAGAGAACTCAAGGGAAGATGAGAGAACTCAAGGAGAAAGATGAGACAGAACTCAAGGGAAAGATGAGAGAACTCAAGGGAAAGTTGAACGAGAACTCAGGGAAAGATGAGAGAACTCAAGGGAAAGATGTGAGAGAACTCACAGGAAAGATGAGAGAGCTTAAGGGAAAGATGGGATAACTCAAGGAAAGATGAGAGAACTCAAGGAAAATGAGAGAAACATCAAGGAAAAGATGAGAGAACTCAGGGAAAGATGAAGAGTCTCAAGGGAAAGATGAGAGAACTCTGCGAAGGGAAAGCTTCATGGAAAGATCTTTGCAACTCAAGGGAAGATGATTAAGGGACTGCGTAGAGAACTCAGGGCTAGATGAAAGAACTCAGGTGAAAGATGTAGAGAACTCAAGGAAGATGAGAGAACTCAAAGGGAACTCATGGAAAGATGAGACTCAAACTCAGAGAGATGAGAGACCTCAAGGGAAAGATGAGAGAACGTAGAAAGAACTCAAGAGAAAGATGAGAGAACTCAAGGAAAGATGAGAGAACTCAAGAGAAAGATGAGAGAACTCAAGAGAAAGATGAGAGAACTCAAGGGAAAGATGAGAGACCTCAAGAGAAAGATGAGAGAACTCAAGGGAAAGATGAGAGAACTCAAGAGAAAGATGAGAGAACTCAAGGGAAAGATGAGAGGATATACAATCAGGCTGTTAAGGTGTCATCGCAACTGGAACTCTGCATATGCTGCTGAAGATGGGGATGGGGCACTTATGGGAATGTCCTAAGTGCTGAGATGTGGACTCTTAATTCTTCTTCTTTTTTGTTCACTGGCTGTAAGCTTCGATGTAAAGTTGTAGTTGTTCGTCCATTCAGCCTTTGGCTTTGTACCAGGGTATAAGTTTTGCATGTACATCCATTTTACTGGCTTATTTGTGAGCAGTTGATTGTTCTTTGCCATCTGGGCAGATGCTTTTTCTTCTTCTCTGCGTTCGGTTTCATATGCTCTGATCAAACCATCAGGTGGGCTGCCCCTATGAACTCGCATGTCAGTAGCAGATACTTCATGGCAGATGCACTCCAACTTCAAAGGAAGCCCACATTAGTCGACTCTTACGTTTCCCCATTAAATAAGGCCTACCACACACAAAAAGCCCTGGCACAATTTTCAGGTTACTTTTATTACAAGTCCGACCCAAAATAAGTCCTAGATAAGATTGTCAAGAATGAGAGACTTGTTCCAGAATGGCCAGTCGGAGTACAAATGTCATTGGTACAGGAAATGGGGTCAATACGAAATTAAGGCTAGAATTTTGGAGAGTTATGATGATGTTCCAGAAGAAGATGACATAACTGTATGTGAATAAATGTAGAATGTTTTACACAAATAAATGTAAAATTTTTGTTTCTGATAAAAAAATAAGACACACAAAAATTCCCCCAAAAATGCCCTAGTGCTTTAAAAAAAAAAAAATTAAAATAAGACCCAGTCTTATTTTGTGGGAAACAGTATTTGTTCAATACATCAAAAGTTGTGAGGTGCACTGCAAAAAATCTGGCCTTTGCTATCAGTAGAGAGGATCAAGCTCTCTCTATCCCTAAAAAAAAAATTTCCAAGTTTTTTTTTGGGGGGGGGGGGGGGGGGGGGGGGGGGGGGGGGGATAAATTTGTAAAATGACAGGTTATTAGTTTTAAGAAACTAAACCTTGACATATATCCCAACAAGGAAATGACAATATTCTCTATGCCAATACTCCCTTTTCACGTGAGCCACAAACTGTTTTTGACGTCTTACCTCCAGTAAAGCAATCTTCTCTTTCACCATCTGAGGGGTCCTGATTAATGGTGGTACTTGCATTCTGTTCCATTTTTTCAGAAAAAGATTCAAGCATTTTCAAAGATTCTGCCACAAGAGCAAGGGCATACTAAAATCTTTACATAATTCTGACAAAAGTAATACAAAGGCATAAGCATTAGATTTAAACGACAGATCAACATTATGGCACAAGGGCAGTAATACAAAAAAAAAAGCATAAACTATAGGTTTAGATGACGGATCAACATCATGGCACAAGTGTAGTAATCCATAAGTGTTCCGTTCTACTTCTGACTCAAGCCTGAGTCTGAAGAATCTCAGCGCAGTGCAGGAACTTCATAGCACCGATGGGGGTAGTTTTTTTAACTCCAAATGTTTGCCTGGTCAGCGCTGCTAGGCTACTCTTATCGATTTCCAAGTGCCTAAGGATTTTTTTATGTACGCAACAATATAGGCGGGCGTCCGATCTTACTACCCAGGGGAAATTACTACAAGTCCTCATGAAAAAAATCCCAGCCTTCACCAGGGCTTGTTCCTGGGACCTCCAGCACTTGAGGCAGATGCCATACCTCGAGACCATGCAGCCCCCAAAACTTAAACTTTACTTGGCACTAATCGACAGAAAATACAAGCCAGAATATTATAACAAACATTATACAGCCAGAAATAGTCTTGGATATGATTTTTTTAAGATACACCTGAAGAATAAATGAAGACATGTGACATTAGAAGAGTTGGGAAATGTAGTTCAAAACATTCATTAAAGAGAAGCCAAAAAATTATTAAATACAGAACCAGAAACAAATTGTTCATAACAATAATGTGAAGAGCTCTGCTAGGTGTTGGGGGGGGGGAACACCATGCAGAACAGTTATCAGAGACTAGTCCTGTGCCTTGTCCCTCTAAAATGTCTTTCATTCCACCCATAAGGGTGCACTGCATTCTGTAAGTGCCTATCAATCACTACTGTTAGCCTACACTGGTTTACATTCTCAAACATGGACATCAAGAAATCAGCGGGAGATGGGACAATGCCCAGGTCCCTTATAATTTTCTAAGAAACTCAAAAGGCTTAGACCCTGTTTAGTGTACAATATTATTAATGTGCTGAAAGGCACAAATATATAATAATATGAAAACTTTAAACAAGAAAAGGAACGTCTACACCCTGTCAGGGCTGAGCAATCAGCTGCCTTGTAAATTCTTTGTTGGTGAAAGGGGGTTCATTTCCCCAAATATTTTTTTTATAGGGACCTCAGTTCCCCCACCCCCCAATCCTAAACAACTGGGAGCCCCCCCCCCCCCCAGGTTCCCATGCCGTTGTTCTCACAGATCATCTAGCCAGCCATCTGTTGTAGCATGTCCATAACAAACTTGCACCTTCCTTCCCCATCTCAAGTAGTCCAATCTTGGTGACACCTGTTCAAGTTTACTTCTGCCTAAAACATCACAAACAGCCATCTTGCAGTACTTCAAAGGGTATAATCACTGGATTGTGGTTAAAGAGAAGGGGAGGGGATCTTGTCAACAGTTACATGCCCCTAACTCTTGCTCCTGCTACAAATCTTAATTATCCGAGCCACAAAGTCTGACTGCTGTTTGAATTTGCATTCTCAGATATAAAGCTGCACTGTAAAATACTGACTACCGATTACAATCATAGTTCTGTGGTCATATAATGCAGCAAGAAAAAAAGATCATTATATGTATATAAAAGATGCCTGTGCTGCTTGGAGTGGCACTAAATGATGATACTGAAAGAATTAAGACTGTGCTTAATAAAAGGCCTAAGAACATTTTTTCAAATTTAAAAAAAAAAACATACCCAAACTCATGTGGAATCCTGGTATAGAACTCACTACACGCATCGGACAAATTTCGGCCAAAATCTTTCTTCTGTATAAGACTTTCAATATTTTTCAGTGCCTCATAGCCAGCTTTGATCTGCTCCTTTGTTAACTTTCCTACAAATAAAAATAAAAGTATTTCAAAAAATATTAAATGAATATCTTGTTTTATCAACTGCAGTGAGAAAAGCAATTTAATATTCTACATAGAGCTTATACTGTTTCATGCATGTGAGCCACTGGCCATGTGAAGACAAGCTGAGATAACTCTAATGGTAGTAGAAATTTCTGAGAAAAAAATTCAAAGAATATTATCATCATCATTATATTCTATACCAACGAGTGTCAGCATTCATGGTTTTTGGCAAACATAAACCCTAACCTCAAAGGACATGGCAACAGCTTTGGCCATGTAGCCACAAATCATCAGGACCTGAAGGTTTGACACCATAAGACTAAAAAAGTCTAGTGCTGGTTGCTGACCGTTAAGGCAAGGTCAGATACCCCATTCAACCTCTAAGGAATTTATAATTAGGGCCCCCATTATGGCCACACCAGCCCAGTGTAACATGCAGTTGAATGTGGAATTAGGAATGGACATCACAGCACTCGAACATTCCCAAAAATGCCCAGTTCCCATTTTCAGCGGCAAACGAAGAGTTCCGATTCCGATGGTACCAGTAACCGTCTGATTGTATATCCGTCTCATCCTTCCCCTGAGTGTTCAGCATCAGCCAGATCCCATTGTAATTCCTCGCAGCGCCATTCTCCTTAGACCGTAAAGATCTATCTGCGCCTCCGCACTGTCTACTCGCTCCCAAAGGGCCCTCACAATATCTAACTTGTCATACATCAATTCAGCACCAAGTAGTGAGCTGATGTATGCAGTCTTGTGCAGGTAAGGATGCTCACTAATTTCCTGAGCAATCCTTTTGTCCCTTCTGAGCTACTATTAAAGAATCTCAGTCTGGATAAAAGACTAACAAGGCAGATCTCAGATATCCCATTCAACCCTCAAAGAAGTTACAAGCTGGACACCCACAATGGCCACACCAGCCAGATGTAACCTGCAGTCACATGCTAACTTCCCTGTGTGGATTCTGGGACCTCACTGTAGGGAAAACAAAAATAAAACCCCTGCCTCCCCAGCAAGAATGTCGTAAGAGTCGATTAACTGGGAGCTTCCTGCGACCCCGGAGTGCATCTGCCTGAGAGGCAGGGAACTAACAATCTGCATTCAATTAGGTCAGATCTTCGTCTTCTTCTTCTTCTTCGCATTCACCAGCTGTAAACCCTGGCAGAAAGTTCTGGTTGTTCCTCCACTTCTGGACTGCAGTCTTGTTCCAGAAACTGAGTGGTGCGTTTGCATCCATTCAACAGATCTGACCAATCTGTATGCAGACTGTTGGTTCCTTGCCTCTCAGGCAGATGCACTCTGACTTTAAAAGAAGCTCCCAGTTAGTCGACTCCTATGACATGCTTTTGGGTAGGCAGTGGGTCTATTCTTGTTTTCCCTACAACAGGGCCCCGGAACCAACACAGGAAGAAGAAGAAGTCAGATCTGTTAAACGGATGTGCACGCAACACTCAGGTTATGGAACAAGACTAAAGTCCAGAGGTGGACAAAAAAACCAGAACTTTCTGCCGCAGTTTACAGCCAGTGAATGCAAAGAAGAAGATTTGCTTACTGTTGTGGCCTTTTTCTAAACCATCCACTGAGGGAACTGAATCCAGTAAATGTTAAAGCCACAGAACCCCACTATCAGTTTACTCTCCTGTAAATATATTGTATCTATTATAATGATAAAAAGAATAGACCAGAAATAAGAAGAATACAAAAAACATACCCAACGGTGCTTTCTTGGCATCATATTTCATTTCTATAACTGCAGCCTCCATAGATTTTATGTCACAGATAAGCTGAATCAGTTGCTAAGAGAAACAAAGGGGAAGAAACCAAAACGTTGGTCAAAGCATGAGTCATCTGATAGATGACATCAGAAGAGTGATAACATTTTAACATCAGCTGACATGAGACAATGATAAAGCTGTAATAGTAGATGACACCAGAAAATGATAAAGCTGTAATTGTAGATGATATCAGAAAATGATAAAGCTGTAATTGTAGATGATATCAGAAAATGATAAAGCTGTAATTGTGATATCAGAAAATGATAAAGCTGTAACTGTAGATGACATCAGAAAATGATAAAACTGTAATGGTAGACGACACAAAAAAAAATGATAAAACTTATGGCAAATGACAACAGAAAATGATAAAACTGTTATGGTAGATGACACCAGAAAATGATAAAAGTGTAATGGTAGATGACATCAGAAAACGATAAAACTTTAATTGTAGATGAAATCAGAAAATGATAAAACTTTTAATGGCAGATGACACCAGAAAATGTTTATAATTACCAAGATTCCTAATTTTCTCTGCTTCTTCTTCTCTTCCTCTATTTCTCAGGGTGGTTTCACAGACTTATAAAAATGCATAGTCACCGTGGAGGAGCACCTAGACGCTCGCTGCAGATTGGAAGGTCGTGGGTTTGCTCCCTGGCGGAACCAGATTTTTTTCAAAAATGACCTTGGCTCTCAAGTCTACCCAGCCTTGAGTGGGTACCGGGTGCAGTCACGGGAAGTAGAGGCGGCCGGTTAGATGCTGACCACATCACCCATCTTGTGCCAATTGGTCTATAAAATATAGGTCTAGCCCTATATGCCCTATAAGCCTAAAGTTGTGGAAAAGGGACCTGTACTTTTTAAAATAACAATGCATTGAATTGTTATTAAATTAAAAAAAAAATTGTAAAGATTTTTAGGGGCGAACAGATTAAGGTGAGTGGATCTTGCCAGTCACACGCTTCATCGTTACAGACTTTGATTTCCATACCTACTTACAACACAATGTAACACCATCATCTGGAAAGAATGAAAGGTGCCAACAATTTAAACAAAGTTACATCTACATACAAATTACAGAAAAATTAGGTTACACAATGTGGTTTCTTACCTGAACTCGTTTGTCCAACTTGGAGTCCGGAACTTTCTTGTCCTCATGTACACTGTTTGATTTAGTCAACGATGTGTCTACCTCATCTTCTTCCTATTGGTTAAAAAAATATCCAAACAGGACCACTTTTAGAAAAAAGCAGATGAAAGTCATTTACAGATTTAACATGTCAATTCTGTATTTACTGTGAGCAACTGGTCAAAAGGAAAGGACACTGGGCATTAAGGTGAGAGATCCAGGCTCAAATCATGGGTAGGTCATGAAAGTTTCTTTCCTCTTCTTCTTCTTCTTGGCGTTTGGTTCTGTATGCTCAGGTCAGGCTGTCAAGTGGGCTGCCTCTTTAAGCTCCCATGTTAGTTGCAGGTGTCTCATGGTTCCCCATAGCTTGCTCTGCAGACTCTGCTCTTGAGTACAGGTTTCGCTTTGTAGGCATTTAAATATAGTTGGCAGGCCTGCAGTATGTGCTCAGGTGTTTGTGGTCCCGTCTGATACCCACACTGTGCTGACTGTACAGTCTCTGTTTTATGCATGTGGTAGCTGAGTGTAAGATACTGCAAGAGGAATTATTTTTTTTCCAGTCAGAACCCTGATCTAAACAGCTGATTGTGGGAGAACTAGCATGTGGCCCTAAATCTTCGGGCTGAGGACATCCCTGTATTAAACAGAGATGAATACAGATACAGGCACTAACGTTTTTGTGTGGGAAACTGGATGAAGAAATTCATATCAGCTAGAAATCTCTCACCCTCTGGAAGTACTGGAGAGTTTTGGGAAATGCCATTCTGGTCTCAAGACACAGCGAAGGGAAAACCCCAACTGCACATCCAACGGGGTAGAGGACGGTAAACACACTGTAGTGTGGCCAATGCAGATATGGGGACTGAGTATCCACCGGGATAAGTGGACACCTCTGGGGTGCCCTCTGCTGTTAGCTGCCCTAGCAATCGAAGAGGTTGCTGAAGGCTGAGGATGTAGTCTAAAGCCATGTGGATGTGGAAAGCAACGGGAAACTACCACATTACTATCCCAAGAAACTTATCAAGGAAGCCAAAAATAGAAAGATTCTCAGAATATCTTGGACAAAGAAGAAGGGAAATACCGACATCTTGAAAGATCTGAACATCAAGGAAGATTGGCTAATAAACAGCATTCTGTCTCGGAAGCTGAAATATTTTGGTCATATTAAGTGCCAAAGCGGATTAGAAAAAATAATATCAGAAGGCATGATACCAAGAAGGAGCGGCAGGGGCCGACCAACATGAAGATGGGCACAGGATATGACTCCTTGAGTATAAAAGTATATGAGGCGGGAGAGCTGGTGAGAGACCGAGTTTCTTTCAGGCAGACGGTGATGAGAGCGACGTTCTGCTAAGGACCTGTCACATGATCATAATGAGGCATATCTCACCCCCTCGCCAAGTATAAGGCAACCCCCGATCAGCACACACAAAAACATCTTATAAAAGCATATTCATTTCCACTCTGTGCCACCAGTGCCTAACATATGGTCACTCACACACACAAAAACTAGAAAAGAAAACTAGTAACCATGGAAATCAAAAACAAATCATGAAAAAGGTCATAAGAGGAAAAAAGTCGGCACACAACCAATTCTAAATTACATAAAGAGACAGCAAATAGAATGGTTTGCCTACAGAGAAAATGTCTTGTGACGCTGTACCATAAAAGCATACACCAAAGGAGGAAAAGGATGTAGAGCACAAGGCAGACCAAGAACAATACAGATAGATAACATCAAAGAAACTCTACAATAGCTTAAAGTGCTTACAGCTGAGGAAGCCAGAAGAGCAAGAAAACCTTATGTCTCCCTCAAAATCTGAAGCAGTAAACAAAGATGTGAAGAAGAGAAGTGTATGACATACATCAAAGCAATAAAGCAAGGGTAAAATATAAATAACTCTAGCAAACACCCAACAACAATTTATGTAAAGTTAAATGCTTAAGAAATGGTGAACCTATAAGAAACAATGAAAACAGAAACCAACATTTTTTTTTTAAATGCACAGTATATAAGGTCTGATCAAATATGATAATTTCACAGCATGGAGAAGAAAAAACACCCCCTCCCCCCCCAAAA